GTTCATAGGTTGCTGAAGACTATAGGGTTCATAGGTTACTGAAGACTATAGGGTTCATAGGTTGCTGAAGACTATAGGGTTCATAGGTTACTGAAGACTATAGGGTTCATAGGTTGCTGAAGACTATAGGGTTCATAGGTTGCTGAAGACTATAGGGTTCATAGGTTGCTGAAGACTATAGGGTTCATAGGTTGCTGAAGACTATAGGGTTCATAGGTTACTGAAGACTATAGGGTTCATAGGTTGCTGAAGACTATAGGGTTCATAGGTTACTGAAGACTACTTCAAACCAGGCACTTTCTAAACTTTTTTCTAGTATGGTTACGGATACATGGCCTCTATCGACTTAAAACCACGGGATATTTATCCCAACACACAAGACATGTACTTAGAAGTGATGAAATTCAATTGTTAAATTGAATCCCACAACGGACATTTTTTATAAAAATAGCAGTAACGTTGGAAAAATAATGCAAAAGTTCCACAACTTGCTAACGCGAACTTCACACTGACAACACTATTTGAACAGAAGAAGTCAGTAACGAGTGTGACGGCCATGCAATGGCTTATCATGGAAACGAAAACCTGTCGGAACACTCTAACTTGATGTCGTCGCCATTGGTCAACGAGTGCTTGCTCAAGTTCTTGCAAGATATGGGGTTGAGTCATCTGCTGTCGTACCTGTCTTCCCAGCTCTTCCTGAATGTGTTCGATCGGGTTCAAGTCGGGGGGAACGGGAAGGCCAGACCATGACATCATCGGCGTTATGTAAAAAATTGCTCGTCGGAATTGCAGTATTGAGCGTAGGATAGTCATGTTGAAATATGAGTCTAGGACCATGTAGCTGCATACATGAATGGCAGAAATATTGGGGTCTAAACTTGCTCCCGATAGTGCATGGCATTAAATTTTCTCTGGACGACACTTGAGATCGTCGACCGGCGGCAGAAACTGCTCCCTAAATCTTTACGCTGGTCCCTTCAAATCAGTCAACCCCACGAACACAACACATTCGTAAAGGAGCAATGTAAAGCGTGAATCATCACTGAACACAACCCTGTTCATGGCATGTCTACGTCCCTTTCGTAAGCGTTGGGCACTATGAAACTGCGTCAGGATAGGTCCCGTGTATGGTCTAGCTAGCTCGGATACCTGCGGTGCTCAGTCGATTCCTGATGGTATGTGCTGACAAGCTACCTCAGAAAAAACCCTGTCTGAGTGAGTGAGTGAGTTTAGTTTTACGCCACACTCAGCAGTATTCCAGCTATATGGCGGCGGTCTGTTAATAATCGAGCCTGGACCAGACAATCCAGTGATCAACAACATGAGCATCGATCTGCGCAATGGGGAACTGATAACATGTGTCAACCAAGCCAGCGAGCCTGACCTTCCGACCCCGTTAGTAGCCTCTTACGACAAGCATGGGTTACTGAAGTCCCGTTCTTACCCGGACCTTCGCGGGTTACCTGTCTGAGAGTGGATGTTGCAGTCACAAGTTTGTTGCGGAGATGTCATACAATGATCTGTATGTCATCTTGCTATAAAGTCACGCGTCTCGTCTCGCAGGAACCTTGGTCAATCTGCAAAAGTGCCCGTCAGTTCCACGCTCGTGCACAGACTGTATTGCCTGACTACAGTCCAGGGTGCCGTTGTAAAAAGAAATATTCTGAACACCTGTACCCTGGGATCGATGCTCATACTTTTGATCACTGGATTGTCTAGTCCAGACTCGATTATTTACAGACCACCACCATATAGCTGGAATATTGCTGGGTGTGTAAAACTAAACTCACTTACCAGTTCCCAGGGCTCACGCAAATGCTGCAACGGATTATCCAGTAATATGTTTACCCATGGCATGTTCACGTTGCTGATGTGAATCGTTGCATAATCGCTCTTTTATTTAACCTTGCAATTTACATAAGTTGTCTTCGTATACACATACAATCGTTAATGACTCATTGCACAGTTCTCGATTGTCGCTCAGTTACTAATTTTGTTAAGTATATATCTTGAGTGGTGAACATGCAAACATTTCTTGCAACTCTAGCCAGCTGGGTACTCTGACAGTTGTGCTGGCACATTGTCTCAACAGAACTACCACGAACCAAGTGTTTCAATCCCTACCCATTATAGCCCTGGTTCCAGCAAGCTGTCTCAGCTATAGGACGATCCTTAGGTGAAAGCCGCTTGCGACAGCTTATTTTGTCATACCACGTGTCTGCTTATGTGGGAGGACTGACTGACTGAGTATGGTTTTACACCAGAAATGGGCTTCACACATTGTACCCATGTGGGGATTCGAACCCGGGTCTTCGGCGTGACGAGCCAACGCTTTAACCACTAGGCTACCCCACCGCCCCTTATGTGGGAGGAAGGCTCAAAGTGATGAAAATGCTAGAACTTTACTTGGATGAAACCAAGCAGTAGATAGTAGATAGGGACAGTGGGGATCTCGTTAATCCATTCATGCGCGTCACTAATTAGATGACGAGGCATTTGGCTACCTTAAGAGAGTCATAGTTACTCCTGCCATTTACCCGCGCTTGATTGAATTTCTTCACTTTGACATGACTGAGTTTGGTTTTACGCCGCTTTTAGCAATATTCCAGCAATATCACGGTGGGTGACACCAGAAATGGGCTTCACACATTGTACCCATGTGGGGAATCGAACCCGGGTCTCCGGCGTGACGAGCGAACGCTTTAACCACTAGGCTACCCCACCGGCCCTTCCCTGCATGAGGTGGATCACAACAGACTGAGAACAGTGACAGCCATGTGATGGCTTTGTGGAAGCATCAGACTTCACCTCTCATCGGTGTCAACAACAACAATGCATGACTTCATACAAGGACAAATCTACCCTTAGGCAATCAGTACGCATTCAAGTTTTCATTCTCAACTCCCTTGGAAACATACAAGCCAAGCTACCTTGTCAAACTGATGGAAACTGTGGTCTCTCCGTAATAAAGGAACAGAAATGACAGTGTTAACATATTTAATGACGAAATAAATGAAGCGATACACTGGACAACCTCAATCATCAAAAGACATGATGTCTGCTATAGTATAGATCAAAGTGCGCATAAAACTGACAATGTACAGTTGCAGTATGTACACATAAGTTCCAGTCACGTCGCCATGACAACAAATATACAGAAAAATCAGCTTGCAACCTAAGCGTTACTTTTTAAATGTTCCACTTATGGATTATCAGCTACTGCCATTAACATTTTTCAGACACCTTACATGCCAAGCTGTCATGTCTGTGTTCACTTTGCAAATTGGACACAGAATCTCTAACATCCCCTCAAATTCAAATTCCTCCTTCTGATCCTACACCTCATGCCAATCAAATTTGAAATTATACACCGAGATGATTTTTTAATCTCTTCATTTAAATGGCTTTAATAAACATGAGGCAAATGACCTACTCTCAACGTTGTGTGCATGGTCTATTCAATATTGATTACAGACTTCATTATAACAATCACAGTCTGTCTTGAGATCTCTGAATGCTTCAAAAAGCGTGTCAATATTCAGCAAAACACTTCCAATAGCAGAACTAACAGACAGTGCTGAATGGACCAGCACCCTCCTGAGAGCATCAAGCAGATTTTACTGTAGCTTCAGTCACTTGGAGACGCCTTGTTACCAGGAATGCAGTAGCAGTAACAAACATGGACAGTGGTAAATTATCCGATAAGTAGGTAAGCAGATATAAATGTAGTTAATGTGTGATCACTGCACGACCAGCATCAATAAAGAGAAATGAGTCCTGTTTCACAAAGCAAGTGTACACTTACGACAATAACAGCGCCATGATCGCTTTGTAAACAGGGCCTTGGTCAGTATCGAACTCAGCAATCTATCAATTATTGGCTTACATAACACATAATTTGTAACAATTGTTATAAGCAATGGCACACACAAACATACTACCAGAAATAGATTAGATCAGATGTTGCATGATAAAAATCTTTTCAAATGTGAAAAAGATTGTCAGACTAACAAGATAAGGTGGGTCATAGTATTTGAGCTATCTTTTGTCTGTTGAAGCAGTGTCTGGATCGACATATTGTACAGTTTAATACATACCATTACCAAAATGTATATAGCACATGGGACAATACTATTTGGGCCAGAAAACAGGGTTTCATGAGTTATCTCCCTTTACAAAATGTACCCAACCAGCTGTTCTCTTCAACATGTTGTTACCAATGTGAACACAACTTAGCCCTACTTACTGAATAGCCTTAGTAATATCAACTGAACAGAGTAGTGCTGTCATATTTACAACATTAGATAAACAGAAAGTTGCAGCGATACATTAGTCATGTTTTCAATATCGAAGTGTCTGTTTTGAAAACTGATCTTCAAAAACAGAATACTACAACACATAATGAAACCCACTTTCTAATGGAAAAGTGACGTTTGAAATAAATATACAACATTTCATATTCCAGCCTGATATCAAACATCAATCAAAGACACAATTAATTATTAAGACACAGTGTATAAACTCATAATTTGTACCACCATTTCATAGGAACACTTCACAAGAACTTCTAGTTTCACACTGATAACTTAAAGTTAGTAACAGGGTTTGACACTCACTGATTTCTCCCACTTGCCAAGAGGGCAAGTAGAAAAGTTAAACTACTTGCCCATCACAGATACTGCTTGCCCCATGTTACTCATGGTATAGAAAGAACTAGACAAACAAAACACAGCAAGTGAAGAGTTTTAATGAATGAATTGAAGTTAGAAGTTGAAAAAATATGTACTTGCCACTCGGGCAAGCCTTTTAGCAATTTTACTTGCCCTGATTAATTAGTACTTGCCACGGGCAAGCGGACAAGCATGAGTGTCGAACCCTGTAGTATGCATTTTTAATAACAGATATTTCTGATAAGTGATATAATCTTTTGTGCTGGAATTGAGGCCATGTCTTAATTATTCTGCAATGACTATAATATATAAGTTACTGTATTGTTGAAATCTGCCATGTATCTATCCAAGGCTAAGATTAACATTATTTGATGTATCTACACTTTACTGACAAATAAATAGTCATGTGGATCATATCACATGTATCAAACATAAGTTGTACAGCAAATACAATATATTATGTATACACAATTTATTACTTGTGAGTATGCTATATGTAACTTCGTACATTTTATTCAATATTTCTCTAAAACTAATAAATATTGTTTACAAAGAACCAGAAGTTGAGAATTCACAAAATATCACATGTCTATCAAGTTGATATAGACTACTAGATCCATCTACAGAGAATGTCATCAATACCATGTGTTACCTACAATACCAAATCCTACACCCATATATAGTCATCACATAGAACAGCAGCACACATAATATACAACTCAAAACAAGTTAAGAAACACCTGATTAGAGTGTCATGGCATGTGTTAAACTTATTTTGAGTTGTATACAATGAGATATAAGACTGAGGAATAACTGCTCGGCTGGAATATTTTACAACTCAGTGGCCACGATGCTGAACGCAACTGAGTATTTCTTAACTATTGCATCTTATAGTAATATTCATCACTGCTATTGACAAGAGTGCTGTGTGTGCATATTTATTACAATAATGGTCCAACATAACTACTTGTCTGCTAATTGAGGACATGAAACATGGTGAGGACTAGTGGTTTTCGATAACTTACACCGATAGCCCTTGCGTTGAAAATTTGGAAAATCTTTCTTTTTTTCTCTCCCAAAACGTAGAAGTATCACATGCAAGTCCCAGAAAGTTGTTGACCAGTTGGATTTAGTATTTTGTCTTGGCCATCCCATATACTCTAGCACTAGATCTGGAGGCGTGAGGGTAGAAATCACACTGAAATTGACAGCAGTTGACAAACCCCTTCACAATGTTAAACATGCATACTGTAGAAATGAGGTAAGAAGTACAAAAATCTCTAAACCAAAACACTCAATTCACAATCAATTGAAAATATGGAATAACTGACATCTTTGATATGGAAAGCACTAAATTCTAACATGAACAAAGACAGTATATTAATAATTTGATTAACATCATCATACAGCACAAAATCATGTTAAAATACTGTGTGCTTTTGAGTAATCTTAGAATCTATTAAAGTATATTCCTAACATGACTTACCCTAGTTGTCATTCTAGTAGTATCATCGTGAACCCATGTGGAGCCATTCAAGCACAAAGAACAGAAGGTTACATGATCTATTGTTTAGCAATTGTCCACCTACTATGACGTAATACAAAACAGAAAAACCGAACCCAGACATATTCTGACATTTCCACACCACAACGCAGTCCTCCGATGTCAAACATACAACACATTACCAAGGCTACCTTTTTCTTGAAATAAGGACATTATTTGGTCGTTCAGTTTAATTTGTAAATAACATAACTTTATAATCTGCATTAAGGCTGAAACAATTCACGGGTCTACTTGTTCATTTTTCTGTTTCAAACCTTGATGACAGGTTCAATCTGCATCCATACATATAATTTCCAAATTCATTCAAAATATTTGCATATATGATGCACAAACAGGCAATGGCCAACATTTCTAATTACATATTGGCCTACAGATAACTTGAACATTTGACATCAAAATTAGGTATTTATCAACACATTTCCCTTCTTTCAAATTAGGAATGGATTCATGACATGATACTGTGCTAACTGTGTTATGATCATGATATATACTGTATCATGAACAGTGTAGTGTTTCAGCCTAAATCTGTATCTGTTCCCGAACTGGGTTGATAGGACTATATACAGGTTGAAAGTGCTTGATACTGAACCAAAGCAGCAACACATATGAGCTATATTTCTTTGTTCAGCTTTACACTGCAGTGAGGCTCATGAGCTCATGAAACAACAGTCATCTCAAAAAAACACTGGACAGACAAGGAGAAGTAGAGCTGTCACTGCCGACGTCGATGATGTGGCCAGCTGTCGAGGAAGCAGTCGCTGGTGTTGTCAGCAACTCGGCAGTGACCGTGCGTCATGTGACAGCGGTAGACTGTCCTCGGAATACTTAGTCACTTCTCATACAAATCCAATCGTTCACTATCAAACCTTGACTGCAGTCACTCATACATAGTCTGGTCTGTGGGTGTCCATCTTTAATGACCAGACTTGGAATGCTGGATTAGCCACTGCAATGTTATGTCTGAAACAAACAATCAGGAAAGATATTCTTCACATATTCATCAAGAGGTGATGGGGTAGCCTAGTGGCTAAAACGTTTGCTCGTCACGCCAAAGACTGGGGTTTAAATCCTCACATGGGTACAATGTGTGAAGCCCATTTCTGGATCATGTTTCAGTTTGGTGAACTAAATACAGAGGTCAAAAAATAAGTAAAACACAAAACGAGAAGAAAAAGAAAAGAAAATGTAGGTTTCTACGTAAGGTATTTCGAATAACCAAATGATATGTAAATAGTTTGCGAACTGGTGTGCAAACATCACATTTCAAAATGGCTGCCATGTTTGATATTGGACCAGTATTCTCCTAGTGTAAGAGTGGTGACTTATTAACAAGGTTGCATGCTGAGAAGCATGTTGGTATTATGAAGGTAGTAATACTTCTGTGAATCATTGATGTCCTTACCTATATTTTCCTTTTCTTTGCAAGATATTGAGTAACAACAGATTTCTCTATCTTGGATTGCCGACAGATTCCTGCAAGTGAAAACGATCATTAGAAGCAGTTTGCAAAGTATCTGCCAGTATATGATAGAGATTCAGCCTAACACACTAAATACATCTGCAAGAGTCAGAGAATCAGTTAAATTAGGGACTGACCTTTATGTTAGTTCACATTTTACAGATCAATAAAGGATTTACATAGGAGATAGGGTAAAGGGAGGTAACTCTTATGAATTAGAAACCAAAGCCACCTATAGTTTTAATGGCCATCCATTCCATAGAACAGATTTCTTTTGTGTCAGCATGTGTTTCAAAATTGAATTTCTTGCAAACTTGATGATAATCAATGGGACTGGTCACCATGTTTATACTGCCAACCCAACATTGAGGCTGGTTTGTAGCTGATTGGACCTAGTAGCGTACCCACTCAAATTGGCAAATTGAAATCAAGGGCAGGTAATTTGATATTGTGAGAGCCATGAGAATAGATCCAGGGGTTAGTGTAGACTTACTGAACTGTAACCTTTGGATATATATATGATGGCATCTGGAACAACCTTCTACAAACAAAATACCAGTAAAATGCTAACAGAATGATTCCCAACTTGAAGTCCACTGGCAATCTGTGAGCACAAACTATGGATTACGGTTTATAAGACTTCACTGTATGTATTATTCAGAAAATATGCATGAGAATATTGTGCATCACAAGTTTGGTGCTGTTGCAGACAGAAGTAGTATTTCTAGCAATATCTGCTACTTACATCCTCTCAATGAGTTCCTTCTCATCTAATGCCCCTGCAAGATCCCGCTTGTTGCCCAACACCAGTACTGGGATGCCCTGCAGTTGGGGTTTGTCTAGCAGGTTGTGCAGCTCGTTCCGGGAAGCCTCCAGCTTGTCATGATCCGCAGCATCCACCATGTACCTGTACCAACAACATAGCTGTAGAAGCCTCATGACATGTATCCTTAGCAACAACATACCAGGTAACTGTAGCAACAATATACCATCTACTTTAAGCACTAACATACCTGGTATCTGTAGAACCAACATACCATCTACCTATAGCAATGTACCAGGTAACTGTAGCAAAAAGGTACCACATACCTTTAGCAACAACATACCAGGTAACTGTAACAACAACATACCAGGTAACTGTCACAACAACATACCTGGTAACTGTAACTGTAGCAACAATATACCATCTACCATGTAACTAAGCAACAACATACCTGGTATCTGTAGAACCAACATACCATCTACCTATAGCAACGTACCAGGTAACTGTAGCAAAAAGGTACCACATACCTTTAGCAACAACATACCAGGTAACTGTAACAACAACATACCTGGTAACTGTAGCAACAATATACCATCTACTTTAAGCACTAACATACCTGGTATCTGTAGAACCAACATACCATCTACCTATAGCAACGTACCAGGTAACAAGCAAAAAGGTACCACATACCTTTAGCAACAACATACCAGGTAACTGTAGCAACAACATACCAGGTAACTGCAACAACAACATACCAGGTAACTGTAGCAGCAACATACCATGTGCCTTTAGCAACAACATACCAGGAAACATAGCTGAAAGTATTAACCACACACAAAACAGTTGTGGTCTATTGATCATAATTATTGATAAACACACCATCAACCAGTACTTGACACTCACACAATGGCATTGACACCTCTGCAGTATCTCTCCCACATACTTCGGAATCTGGGCTGGCCACCAATATCCCACAACTGTGAAGGAATAAAACAATATGATCATTGCATGCATTAAGTCATTCATGAAGTGTAAAAACATTTTCTACCAACATCTCAGTTTGGTTTAACATTTTTAAAAATGATTTCCATTATATTGCCACATGTGAACACAATCATATTGCAAGAAAGCTCATTGCGATGCAGGTCTTGGGAATACGACGGCCATATTCTCACAGCATATGAGCAAGTATGGTTTTGTGCCGCTTTTAGCAATATTCCAGCAATATCACGGCGGGGGACACCAGAAATGGGTTTAACACATTGTACCCATGTGGGGAATCAAACATGGGTCTTCGACGTGACAAGCCAACGCTTTAACCACAAGGCTACCCCACCGCCCCTCACACTCACAGAATATGAACTTTATGTGGAAGGAAAGCCTGAAGTGATAAAGCCATGAATGTCTACCACTTGGTGAAACCACAACCATGGGTTTGTTGTTGACATATCTAAAATCACTGGGCATCCAAGATTTGAACCCACATGTCCAAAGGACGCAACTCTGCACAGTGAGCAGGAGTGTTTGAGGTGACCATGAAACCTGTGCTTCCACCATTTTGATGAAACCAGTCGGACATGAAAGGGAAGTAACTCTTTCAAATGGTTACCATCACCCCCACATTAACAAACAAAAACATTTTCACAATAACCATTTATCTGAGGACAGAAATATGAAAGACAAAATAACTTGAAACTAAGCTGAGGGCATATGAATTCGCAGCTGTATAAAACAAAGCACACAGGAAATGTCCATACACAACAACAAAAGGATCTGCTTAATTACCTTGATTGTGACGTTCCCTTTGGTAATCTTCCTCATGTTAAAACCAACTGTGGGAATCATGTCTTCACTGAACTGGCCTGACTGCAAACATGAGTCAGTCACAAATTAGTAACAGTGAACACAGTCCAATACTTATAACAATATTGCCACTGCTTTCTCTAAGTGTCCATCTTCAACATGTTCAACCAAGATGTTTCACTTCGCTGAAACATTTCCCTTATGTTAGACATGTTGCTGGTAGAAAACAAAAACACTCTTAACTAATTGTTTCCAGATTAAACTTATTTCAAACAAGGAAGAGATTAAAAAGTGTCCTTTAATGGTAACTATGATGACATGAATAATGACTACAGTGAGGCTCACATTTTTCATGTTGGATATTTACATACAAATTGACAGCGGTTGAAAATAGATCATGGAAAAAGGACATGGTTACTCTCTACACATCTCCTCAGTGACATGGGCATCTTAAGTGTGGAGTAACCTAATGTTGTTATTTTCAGCACAAAGAGAAACAAATTAATCCGAGATAATTACATAGTGTGTGCATTAGTGCTGGAGCGATTAATCGTAGGATCGGTAAATCGTTCGATCTAAGTCAAAATAAACAACTGTCGATTACAAATAAACTGCGGATCGATAATCAGAAATAATCATTATTTGGATGCACATACATTAAAACTTTTTATTCTACATTGTCATGTTTTCTTATACTGAACACTCTGGTAGTCATTGCTTGTTTACCACTTAAACGGAAGCTGTGTACTACACAAGTGAGCATGCCTCCCCTGTCAGCCAATGGTAATGCCAGATATATTTAGATTGGGGTGTCCTATTCCGTCATTGAAATACTATGAGTTGTAAAGTGGTTTATAGAAATTATTTAATATTCATGAGCAAACTCTGCAAAACTCATTCGTCCAATCATGCAACAAAACGTCACATTACGACCCCGATGTTACAAGTTAGCTACTTTCTAATTGTCTGAAAGAGGGAATTCCTTGAGTTGCATTTGCATACAAACACGTGACTTACTTAAAATAGAGCTATTTTCAGTTTCATGAATTCTCTTAAACTTTTGATACAGTGGTTGATTATAATACTTCCCAGAATAAAGTTTGTGTTTCAACCTTAAGGAAATATCTTTGTTCACTCTTCAACATAAACAAAAAGTTTTTAAAAAATGGCATGCCATGAAAATATATCTACCAGCGAGGTCACATGACTAGTAGCATGATCTTGTAAGGTGGGAGGTCAACTAAGCAGACGAAACATTAATGGCATCTTTGGAGTAAAGATTTAGGATTTTTGTGCATTTCATTATGAGGTAGATATTGCATTAGGGATCCCTGAGTTAAAATTAATGTCTTGTGTTTTTTTTATACTGTTGACTACGCATGGAAACGAACGAAAGCTGGGATTGCCTTGTTGTCATTCAGATGCTTCTCATGGATTTTCTCGCATTTTTGTGCAATAAACGGGAATTGTAATGGGCGATCAAAAACATATAACGATCGGAAACGTAACACGATAGGATACTTGATGATCCAAAGACGCTGCAAATGTAAGTAACTTGCTAGCATTAACAATTGACAAGTGCTGACAACATCCCGGAAGTTAGTTCGCTAACGTAGGTATTTGACTATGAAATGACAGTCCAAACGATTATAAACGAGCGATTATCGATCTGACAAAATGTAACGATAACCAGCTCTAGTGTGCATTCTACTAAATCTAGTGAAGATTTCTAAAGATGCTCCTAAATGGAGTTTAGATTAAATTGGATTTATTTGTTGAAAGAGTTAAGGTAGCTAATGTTACCCTAACTCACAACTAACTTAAGAGATTACAAGTGTCTGACCAACCTCAAGCATCACCAAGCATTGTGATGCTGTTTGCTAGGAACAGGGGTGACAACCCCTAAAGGGAATGACTTCTGCTCATTCGTTGGTTTCACATTACTTTTCAACTCGCTGTCCGCATGCGCAGAGCGTGTGAAATCTATCTACTGGCATGCTTCCGGTTTGGTCGTATTTTTATCGATAGCATAAACACTCCAAAGAAAACAAATATATAGTTTTATGTCGAATACAACTGATCCCAGTTGATTTATGAAACAGAGGCCGGGATTAGTTAAATAAATAGCTTAAGTTATGTTAACAAGCTCTTGTATAAAGACATCTCACCACCACCGTCCTTCCCGCAGATCCCCTTCTCACAACTAAACAATCACATCTCTGATGGAGTTGCAACCAAAATAGGACATCAATTATTGAAAAGCAGAGGCAAATGGTAGTATGTACTCAGCTATGAACAGTTGTCACAACGTAAATAATTTTCATACCAACTTTTATTTAGCGTACATTTACACTATCGATAAACATACGACCAAACCGGAAGCATGCCAGTGGATATTTTTCACACGCTCTGCGCATGCGGACAGCGAGTTGAAAAGTAATGTGAAACCGACGAATAACCCTTTCATCCACGCTTGACCTGAACACTTACTCTGGCCAGAAACATGTGTAACATTTGTTTGGTCCCCATCATATTAATGGATTTCATATATGATTTCTTGATACCTCCAGGTAGGGATTATCTGGAAAATCTCTTACAAACAACAGGTGAAGCATATTTAATCTCAGATTACCAGACTCTGGCACATGATCAAACGTCATTCTCTGATGGGTAATTAGGAATTGGAATTGGTATAAGCTATAGGCTAAATAGACTCATGCCTATTTAAACCACCTGTCTGGACACTTGAATAATACTAGTCTAATGGTATCTATATGACACTGAGACACATACCCCGGTAGTCCTACAGTCTTGAAGCAGTTTGGGTAACTTGGTTAACATGAGATTCCATCATATAAACAGAGCATAGCACATTTACAGAATGAAGCTAAACACAAGCAGAATAGTAGATTCTGTTAGTATTTGTATGTCTTTGATGTGATTACCGGTAAACCTCAGAATTGAATGTCAAAACAATATATAAACATCAAAAACTGGAAATCACCAATAAACAGGCGTATTACTTGAAAATATGGCAAGTGACAGTCTCATAACCAGGCCTACATTTCAACACACATGTAGTATTCATGAACTTTGTCAACTAAAAATTGCATTAACCTAAGAATCTGTAAGATAGAATGTTGCTATGTGTGTGTGGATGGTGAAATCCCTAAATTCTGTTATCAAGCAAAGTGACTAAATATGGCACGTAAACAAATTAGAAACTGTTACTAAGGAAGAAGATTGATAACTTTATTAATACTATGTCTGAATCAGCATATCCATTATCATACACACTTAAGCCTAGTAACTGCACTGTTGCACTAAATTCTGAATGAATTCGACCCTAACTAATTCTAACTATTTACTTAATGAATGCTTGCAAGTTTCGAGCAAATATTATCGACAAATTTATTTCGACAAACCATATGACTGTGAGTCACTGAAAAATCAAATGTTGGAAAATGAATGAACAAAGGAACTGACAGTCGCGGTGTCATAATTAAATATCCATTACAAAGTCGGATTTCGCTTCCCTGTCCACGTTTAAGTGCCCCAATCGTGATAACACGAAATAGTTCACTTTAAATTCCTAAAACGTCGGTGAAGAACAATCCACACGAGGAAGTGACGTGCTGATTTGCTAGTAGGCGGTTTCTATCACGCTCGCTGCCATCGGGACTCACAGCTGACTCCAACTTACCGCTATTACGTTTACAAATGTAGTTTTACCAGAATACTGTAAGCCTACAAGTGTAAGTTCCATCTCCTCTTTCCAGAAGAGACTTTTGAACCAGTCCAATATCTTTTGAATCATAGCAAACATGGTGATAAACAAGATATTCCAAGTGACAGTCAAATGAACGCCTCTCGATTTTTCCTAAACCGGAAAGACACACAGTTCGCTATACATCACATGACACACACTGGGGCCAAAGGTCAATTCCCTGAGATATTTTCATGAAAACTTATTTTTGTCACAGAATTTCGAGATTGGCATAAATGAATAAAAAATGAGTTACTATGAGTTACTATCGGGTTACTATTGAGTATAAACAAAATATTATTTGTCATGATCGGGTGGTCTGTCGGGTCGGTAAAATCAAATATAAACTGGATAAAAATATAAATAAAATAAACCGATATCTGACATGCGATTCTCCAGATGAAAACAGGGACAGGTGTAATTTTCATATTAATTTATCTGTGGTACCTATTAGTGGGGATTGCATAAAGTCGGCCGGACCAAGAATGGTCAATGCTATTATCGGCTAATTACTCCATTATGAGACAGCGATGCCAACATTTCACTGATGCAGTAATGACACATGATATTAATGAAAAACTACATGCAACAAAATAAAGCATAACAAGTAACTGAGAGCTTGAAACTCAGGATTCCCTTATTTTCATACACGCCGATGCCGTTTAAGCTGTAACCTTAAAATCCGTTCAACAGAGAATATTTATATTTTATGGTCATCGATATATGTATCATATGTTGTGGTACGTCATGGCACAAATCATTTGACACACATTTCTACCCTGCCTTCAATCTTGGCGCTCACGCATGCACGCACGTGCGCATGTGCGTACCTTATGAAAGCAAACTGTATATGTTAATCACAGTTAATACGATAGTGTCATCTACATCGCAACAGAAGTTCTCTTAATTATTAAAGTATGTAGAATACATTTAGGGAAGTAGTATCCACTTTACTCGTCAGTCACATGATAATATTTACGGTCATCCCGGTAGCACCTGACTGACAACAGCTGACAGCCTACACTTCCAGCGGTGCAGCCATGGAGAAGTTGTCTGTGGTCGTCGTCCTCTCTATCCTTGTAGCAGTGTATGCTGATACCCCAGCTAACTGTACATACGAAGATGTGAGAGGAACATGGGTATTTTCCGTTGGATACAGAGGATACAATCGCACGGTAGACTGTTCCTCTTTTTGTAAGTTCATTTTTAATAATGCCGATCTATGTGAGAAGTTTAATTTCCCTCCCTCTGTCTTCAGTGAAAGAAGAAGTACCATTCAGAATGTTTAGCGTTCTCACAATCAGTTCTTTGATTTTTAGTTTTAGATTCAAAATTTCAAAAATATATATTTAACAATTCGTCACTAAGCTTGTCTTTGTCTTGAAGATTTAAAAACCAAAAAGAAAGTTGTCTACATGTTATCAAATCATGAACAACAGGCATTCATTGAGAAAATGTGTCAGATCTCCTGCCTACAAGTTTGAGTGGCATCAGGTAGGATAACTCAAGTTGTAAGTGTTTTCTAATGCTTGGATCCAAAGGTTACAATTTTAACAATTGTTACAGTTGGTTAGGGGCGGACATTTTACTTTGTGTTTAATTCTTCTACAGCAACTGGTGAAGAGACTTATGAAGTGACCTTTGACTTTCCTGCCTTGGCTGTTGACCAGTATGGTAATGACGGATTCTGGACTCTCATTTATAACCAGGTATACACTCACATATCATATGTAAACTGTATGTAATCTATGTAAACACATGATTACTGCCTTTGAAATCTCAACCTATATTTCCACAATCAGTGCACAGGATAAATACCACGTAATGATTGTCAGTACTTACTAGTAACTTTCAAAGTAAAAAAAACATTTCTAAATCTGCTTGAAATTATATGTGTATTTATTTATATTATTTCAGGGGTTTGAATTTGTCATTGCTGGAAGAAAATATTTTGTTTTCTCAAAATATGAAACCTCTGGGTCGAAAGTCACCAGCATCTGTGATCAGACGATGCCAGGGTGGTCACATGACGTGTTTGACAGAAACTGGTCTTGCATCATTGGCAAGAAGAGTACCCCTGTCCCACGCAAGACCTATGAAGACCCACTTGCAACACGGTAAAACATTGTGTCCTCATGGACATGCTATTATCTCTCGGTGACCTCAAACAGGGATGTGACATTACTGACCCACTATCATTCAGTGAATCCAAGCAGTAGTGCAGTGATGTGATGTACCTGTCATACTATGTTTCAGTGGCCATCAACAGCTTCATGGCAAGAGAACTTGATCTACCAACTTGATACTTTCGAGCATACCTACTCATAAATGCTTGACTGAAATGAAATGTCCAAAACAAATAAGGAAATACAGAAAAAAAACTGAAACATAAATTGCCAGTGGGGATTTCCCGTTGGTTTAAATGGCTTCCCAGTTTTTGACAAGCTAGTTGTTTCAATGATTGGATAGGGAATTATTAATTGTGCTACAGATTTTTCTGTCTGCTCATCATTTCCACATTGTATGTAAGTTTTTGTCTTATCAGTACAAAGAATGAAGATATTTTATTAGGGGATTAATCAGTGTCAGGCATTCAATGGGTGGAATAATAACGACAGCAGGTAATCTTCCCAACAGGAAGTCATGAAAAGAATAGGGATATTATTTTTTTGTTCTTGCTTCTATAAGTCACCTGAAGCAGATGTGCAGACATTTTTCAGTGCCCCATTATTGTGCCTAATCTTACAGTGACCTGAAGCAGAAGTACAGGAATGACCTTGACCTCATCAACAAGATCAACAGCATGCAGTCATCATGGAAGGCACAGGCGTACAAGGATCAGGAACAGTATACTGTAGAGGAGATGATCAACAGAGCTGGAGGCCCTCGATCAAGGATTCTATCGTATGTATATCAAGTTGAACTGTAACATGGATGATCAGTCTGCATCATTAGTATCATATTTCAGATTTCAAAGTAACTATAATATTAAATGTATATCTGTCATATACATGTGTGTAAAGGATCATATTTCCTGTGTGAACACCTGATTGAAATCAAAGCTGTGAAGCTGGTTACAGTCACATGACGCACTGACATGTATGATGATCTGATGGGAATATCTGCTGCCTCATGATGATGGGAACACATGATCTGCTGCCTCATCATCACTTCCCTATCCAGAGTCCCAGGGTTTCGGGGAGGCGGGGTAGCCTAATGGTTAAATTGTTCGCTCATCACACTGAAGGCCCCGGCTTGATTCCCCACTTGGATACAATGTGTGAAGCCCATTTCTGTGATATTGCTGGAATATTGGTAAAGCGGTAAAAAACCTACTCACTCACTCAATTCCAAATATCACACTGTCAGTTCAACTTGCTGCATAGGCTTGTTATAGTTTTCATTTTTGATGAGTGTACACACCTATACAGATTTGATAAACTAAATAAAAATATCCTATCCTATATCACTTTGCTGGAGTGTGCCTCATTTCGTTGTTTCTAGCCATAATCGTGACATGTATGAGAGTGGTGGGGTAGCCTTGTGGTTTAATCGTTCATTAACCATGCTGATATCCCGGGTTTGATTCCTGAAATGGTTGCTGTGTGTGGAGACCAGTTCTTCTATCTTCCATTGTAATATTGCAGGAATATTGCAGCATAAAACCATATTGATTCACTTGACATGTAATTGTTTGCTGATTGCGTCTTAGGAGACCTCATCCTGCCCCAGTGACTGAGGCTGTAGCAAGACAGGCAGGACGCCTGCCAGACTCCTTCGACTGGCGTAACGTGGGCGGCGTTAACTATGTCTCCCCCATCAGAAACCAAGGTGAGAATGTTCATTTGTATCATGTATGTGGCATAAGCATTGTTGGACATGCTTTGGCATATTTTAAAAAAGTAATTATATTTCCCCTGTATATTGCTGACATGTTTCATAATACAATTGTCACAGTCAGGAGTTAATACATGATACAGATTTTCATAATTCACAGGTTGGGTTGTAGTATACACAGTATATGTAGTACACAATAATCATCATACATTCAGAAATTGGTACAAGATACAGATATCCACAGTAATTCAACTGTTAAGTTGCTATATACATAGTATAAGTACTCATACAATTATCATCATAGATTAGCAATTCTTTTCAGAAGAAGTCCTCCTTGGGGTACATATAAGCATTTAAATGTTAAGTGAGGTACGAGGTAGATGGCAAGAGTTACCTGCTCTTGGCTGTAGGGGGTCCCGTGGGGCCCTGTAGGGGTGGTCTCACAAGACAAAACGAGTTTTTTGTTTTGTAAATATTTTATTAAAAAATATAGTTACAAGTGTTGTAGGATTTAAAATGGACATTTAAATGCTTATATGTACCCCATAGGACTTTCTTCAAAGAATTCATAACCTCTACAGGTTTGTATAAATTCTTTGGCGTATTGGTATTGTGGCACTGAGCCTTGAGCAAGCCATCTTGCTGGCAACAGAATAAGAGGAAAACAAAGTGTTGTCATGGTTACACCCAGTGTTACATCTACCATGTCTAGTAAGTGATAGTTCCAGTGAGGTACAGGCCATAAGGACATAATGAAATTATACTACTGCACTATCTGAATACTACACCCTGAAACTTGAACTGAAACTCTCTCAGGCTGGTGTTTGAGAAAGTTTGAGAAAGTCTAGAAGTGCTAGAACATATTTTAATGAGTGAGTGAGTGAGTAAGTTAAGTTTTACATCGCACTCAGCAATATTCCAGCTATATGGCGGCAGTCTGTAAATAATCGAGTCTGGACCAGACAATGCGGTGATCAACAGCATGAGCATCGATCTGCGCAGTTTGGAATCAATGACATGTGTCAACCAAGTCAGCAAGCCTGACCACGCGATCCCGTTAGTCGCCTCTAACCTATTCTACCCCAGATCTTCACTGGTCACACATATTAATGAAGTGAAAGATCATTGTTAACTCATGTTTAGGCTATGAGATAATGGCATCCACTGCACTAGCATTCAAACATGGTATCCCAGGTTGTGAAAAGGACACAGATGGTATAAGAACCACAATACCTTGTTGAGGGTTACCTCCCCTAGCTGTACCAGGATCCATGATAATGATCCTTGGTCTCTCAGCTCGGCTCCAGTGTTTATAGGTTTCGATATACACCTATGACCTCATATAGACCTGTGAAGAATTGGGTTAGAATTGGTCTTCAGCAACCTATGCTTGTAGTAAGAGGCCCAAATGAGTAGATCGGTGCTGTTGATCACTGGATTGTCTGGTCCAGACTCGATTATTTACAGACCGCTGTAATATTGCTAAGTATGGTGTTAAGCAACAAACGAATCATATCAGGTTTTTTAATACATTTAAACCTACACAGAACAATGTAGTTGAAATTCTATTTAAAGTTGCATCTACTCCAACTTACTCAACTGCTCATTGTGTTCATGAGACTTCAAATATGAAGCTGAACTTGATGGCATTGTGTTTCAGGTGGCCTGTGGGAGCTGCTATGCGTTTGCCTCCATGGCGCTGAATGAAGCTCGTGTCAACATCATGAACAACAACACAGGGAACCCAGTGTTTTCACCCCAGGACATCGTGGAGTGCAGCGAGTACTCTCAAGGTGGGTGGGGTATTGTGACATTGGTCTGTTTGACATGACAACCTAATGACGGACAGATATGGTTGTGTTATGTCAGGGTGTCTCTAGGCAGTTTTACGTCATGGAACCTATGCTGGTTGTAAGAGTTTACCAGATAGGTCAGGAGGTCAGACTGGGTGACTTGGTTGTATTCATTGTACCCTGACTTTGATAATTATTTACAATCTTACTCAGTTCCAAACTTGATTATTTACAGGTTTCTGGAATATGGAGTATGGAGTCTAACAAAAGAACAAATTTTTAAACTTATTCTATCTCACGGTATACACCTCTCTTCTTCTACGACCATGTGTGGAAACCTGCTGTAGGCAAAGTTGAATCAAAAGCTTCCTGGGTGCCGTTCCACTAACCGATCATAACTAAGATCAATCTTAGCAAGTTACGCCAATTTTACAATCGTCTTAGCTAAAAGTTACACCCGTTCCACTAACCGATCTTAGGCCGACCGTAGCCGTCCCGATCTGACGATCCGATCTAAGCTTAGATCGAGACTCTTTCGTGCGAGAGATAGAGAAATGCGAGGCACGAGTTATCTCCTTTTGCATAGTCTAGCAGACGAAGAAAGGACAGTTTTAGAACCAAGTGAAAACATGGAGAGAAAAACCTTGAGAACAAATATTATGGTAGTGAGCACCTTGGTTTCAGGTGCAAGTGCATGTTAATGCCTCTACCTCGCCACAAGCACATCATCTAATAACGTATCTAGAATCTGTCAGTGGTCTTGAAAAGCATGTGTCCTGCCTTAAAATTCAGAATCCCCCACCAAATAAGCGCAGTGGAATCAAACATATTTGTCTCCCGTTGTTTCAGAACATTGTTCACTTCACGACCTGTCCCTATTATTAACCATGACGTTGCAATATTGTTGTACAAATGTATTACAAATGTGTTCCTATGACGTCAGTGGTCAGACTGGCCTCACATTTGTAAGGTTTCAGTGCTGTGTTTGTTTACATCACAGGAATAAACAAATTCATTTCATGGGGGGTTTTAGGGGGTGTTCATGGTGAAATGCTCGCTCTTCTTCTTCACATAGAATATGAAAGCCACCATTTTGGCGTCTCTACGATTGATTTTAGCGATCCTAAGTTGGTCATGAGCAACTTAGACTTTGGATCTTATCTTTACGATTGACTTGGCTAAGATTGGTTAGTGGAACGGTAAGCCGATCGTAACGTCACGCTAAGATTGGGATTTTAGGGGTTTACCATTGGCGTAGGGCTAAGATCGGTTAGTGGAATGGCATCCCTGGCCTCTGACCACCTCACCTCTGCCTCCACTCCGATAGCAGCACCTGTCAATCATCTCAATAAGCGTGCAGATCGCTCAGGTGATCACGTGAAGCTCTGTGCCTATCATTTCTCTTTCTTGTCGCTACATCGTGTGGACGTGTGCTAAATCTTAGTGAGATTGTGCTGATTCTTAGTGAGATTTTGGCCGTGTTCAATATGGGTAAATCTTGTCGCAGTGCTTCTACTAAGTGCAAACATTGCGTAATAGTGTAATAGTAACTGCAGACCCACATACGTTGTGTGTGGATTGTTTGGGATGTTGCGATTGGGCGCACCGGTGTACCTACTGTGCTCAACTTGATGATGATGCCTTTTCGGAATATCCCCGGATGGCTTCTCGACGTTTGTCTGACAGGGATCGCCATAAACCTTCGGAGGGTCCTTTCTCTTCTGAAATCTTTCGAAATCTGAACGTCGTACGAAGACACCTGTTCGCCAGTCTAAGTCCCCGTCGCCGAATGAGGAATTTCTATGTGAGGCTTCCAATTCCTATCTGAGTGAGGATCTCCGGCATTTATTTCGTCTGCAGGTGTCCAGTCCTATTGTGATTCCAGATCGTTCGCCAACTAGAGTTGTAGTTTTAACTACTTCGTCTGGCCAGTCTTATCCGTCTACCCTGGTGACGATTTCTCAGAACCTTGGGGATCCTACGCCTACTGATTCCAGTGCGGTGCTTGGTTTGATGCCCAGCCTTCACTCTCAAGGGCGGATACTGCGCTTTCCAGCACGGTGATTGGCTCTACGCTTTCTACCCATGCGCCGCTTGTCTCCAGGTGTACGCTATGTCATACACTCCTGTGATGTCGACAAGTATGACATTGAGTTCCAGTGCGGCGCTTTCTAGATCGGTCTCGGTTGCTGTCCCACCTGTTTATGGATCACTGCCGATTTCCAGTGCACCGCTTACCTACGAAGTGATGCTTACTTTCAATGCGCCGCTTGTTCCCGGTTTGGCGCCTACTGTCAGAGCGCTGCTTGCTCCCGGTTCGGCGCTTACTGTCGGTATGTCACTTGCCTCCTATGCGCCACTCGCTCCTGGTTTTGGCACTGACTGTCGGAGCGCCACTTGTTTCCAATGCACCGCTTGCTTCCGCTTCAGCGTTTACTGTCAGAGCGCCTCCTGCTTCCAATATGTCGCTTGGTCCTGGTTCGGCGCTTGCTGCCAGTGTGCCGCTTACTGCCAGTGTACCACAGTCTTCCAGTGTTCCGCTTTCTATTGGTTCAACGTTGCTGCCTTTGCCAGGTCATCCACCCATGCCAGCCTCTGGTTCTACATTGCCTCCCACTTCGAGTACTATGTCGATCACCTCGGCCAGACCTATTTTACCGGTTTCTTGGGATCCGTCGTCTGAGAGTTCTGTGTCTCGACCTTTTGATTTTGATGCCATAGTTCATGCTGTGGCCTCAGCTTTACGTCAGCAAGTCCCAGCTCCATCCTCAACTGTTCAGCCAGCGGTCCCTCCGACCGTTCCACTGCGTTCCATGGATGAAGCTCCTCAATCGGCTACGTCCTCTCCTAATTCTTAAGATGGCACTCCGACTTCAGATGTCAGCATTGATACAGTCGACACACCTCAGTTATTGGTTTGGAGTGCTGAGAACCATCGACTACGTCGTAGCAGTTCACCTTCGGACTTGTTGACTAGCTTTGATATGAAACTGGGTGATTTCGGCTCTATCACTTTTCATCCTCGTCCCTGCATTACTCAACTTGCGGCTTCTCTTGATGAGGCGTTTGACAACTTAAGGAAGGTTAAGGATGGGTTTGCGCCACCCCGCTTTAACTTGGCATCTTCCCATGTTCATGGGTTTTCTACGTTGATTGTTTCGCCTTCTGTGGATGATGACAACGCGCTTTTGGGTTCTAAACAGAGAACTTATTCTCCCTTTTTGGTTGAAGACTGTGAGTTGTCGCACCTGGATGGTGCCATTCAGAGGATCCTAGCTCCCCGTAACTTGGTTTTGACGGCGACTGAAGCTGTGGCTATGTCTGTCTCGCATGCGGCTTCCCCTCAACTGGCTTTGATGGTGTTGATACAGGAGCAGTTCCAGACCATCTTGGATCAGCTGGCCCATTTTCTCTCCCACCTCACGGCGGTTCGGTGTCGGTGCAGGGGCCCGCTTCACTTATCTTCGTGGGAGGATAGATTTCGGACAGATCTTTTCCGTCGACCTTGGTCAGGCAGATCACTCTTTAATTGGGCTATAAGAGATATAGCCGCAAAGGTTGGTGGGATGCTCATTTGCAGGTCTGTGTGGAGCTGTTGAAATTTCAGAGGTTGCAAGTAGAGGATTTGTTGCGTCAATGGCGGCCAGCAACCTATGTGCCGTCCAACCCAGATCTTCGCTCCGGACCTTCTACTTCCTTTCGAGGAAGAGGTTCGACCAGAGGGCGTTCCAACCATCAGCGCTGGTTGTTCACTGCTTCTCGACCAACTTCCGGTTCCAAGCAGTCCTCCACTCAGAGGAATCAGAAGCAGTGACTTGCAGACATCAGAGCACAATTGGGTCCTTCTGCCTCCAATCGTACCTATCACGGCTTCCCCAGTAGGCGGAAGACTTGGGATTTATGCCCTCAATTGGACCATCTTGGATGACCCTTACATTCTCTCCACTCTGTCCAAGGGGTTTCAACTTCCGGTCATCGGCAACCCTCCCCTCACATTATCAAACGACTGTGCTGTGGCACCATAGGCACGCTTCTTCAGAAACTTGTGATCAAATTAATGGGCCCGAATCCTGTCAACCCAGGGTTTTATTCTCCAATCTTTCTGGTTTCCAAGAAGGATTCTGACAAACTGAGACTCATCTTCAACATGAAGGTCTTCAACAAGATGTTCCTACAACCACCGCCTCATTTCCATATGGTGTCGGTGGCTCTACTCAAGACTATCATCAAACCGGGGCATTACATGTTCAGCCTCGACCTACAGTATGCGTACCTGCACATCCCGATCTTCCTGGACCATCGCAAGTTTCTTCATTTCGTCTTTGAGGCCACCCACTATCAATGGCAGGTGCTCCTTGGAATTTCTTTAGCCCCGTGGCTTTTTAAACGGGTGACGAAGCCTATCACCAGCTTCCTACATCGCAAGGGGATACTGTTCGAAACATACATCGACGACTGCATCCAGGCTCAAACTGATCACATGTAGGATGCTGCTACTTCCCCAGTTAGGCTGGCTTGTCAACATGGAGAAGTCAGAGCTAGTCCCTTCAAGCGGCCTGCAGTTTATCGGTGTTCTTCAACAAAGACTGTTTGTGCCGAGGGACCGTTTCTGCAAGATCCGGCGGTTAGTTCCCCTTGCATTGTCTCAACCCAGGACTTCGTCAATGGCAGGAGCTCCTGGGTCTCTTGACGTCGGCCCAGGCGTTGACCCTGGCACATCAACCGGATGGGATCAACAGGGTCTCCTCAACTCCTACAGTGAACACAACAGTTCTTCCAGTTGGTGGACAATCTCAGCATCTCCGTTCGAGTCAACCATATTGCAGGAGTGAAGAACGTGATTGCGAATTCCGTGTCCCGTCCACTTCATCCAGCCCCGACAGAGTGGAAACTACATCTAGAGGTGTTCCAGACCGTTTGCCTTCCGCTGACGACTCCGACCGTGGATCTGTTCACCACTCGTTTCAACCACCAGTTCTGTTCGTGTCTCCGATTCCAGACCCTCTTGCCTGGGGTCTCGACGTTCTCGCTGACCACTTTAGCATTTTGGTTGAGATCCACTATCCTGCGTGCCTATGCCAACCTTCCCACACCCTCGACTGCGAATCCTCATGAAACTCGGGCCCTAGCTTCCACCATGGCGCTTCATAGGAACTGTTCCCTCCAGGCAATCATGGAGGGATGTTTTTGGAAGTCGGATACCGTTTTCGCCGCACACTATCTTCGGGATCTCTCGGTCACGGACGTGGTGGGCCTACCCCAGTTCGGTCCTCTGGTCCTAGTTCAGCAGCTGTCATCGACCTGTGCTCGCAGATAAAAAGCAGTCCTTCTGCGTGTCGGTTTTGCTTCTGTACATTAATAAAAGATCTCGATGCCCTCTTTGTACCTTTTTTTACCTTGGGCTTAGGCCACCTCACCTAGGGAACTAGGGTGTGTCATAGAGTTGACTCAATAGACTGAGAGGCCAATCTTGTTTCCAAGGCGTTCCGACTAGCACCTTTACCTGGCAGGTAGATGGTATTTTACCTGTCGGTATCCCTCACCTGGGATGGTGTGTCATTACCTGGACTACGGTATACCCCCGTAATTCGGTCCTGACGAGACTGGATGTGCGAGAGGTACAGTGTCAGTACCCGGGGGCCCTTGGAACTTTACCGTAGTCCATCCAGCAAACACAAGACGATGATCTTCGTTCAATAGTTTTTATTAACACTGTGTTGCTGGTCAACCTACTCTATGGTCACTCTATAAGACTTCAGCCGCAAAGCTTCAGTCTTAAGCCTAAATGCTGGTGCTTCACGATAATTTCTGAGACGATTCCTAGTGACCAACAGCAAGAGCAGGCCCGCACCAGACTCCCGTTTCTGAGCTTTGCTCCCGCTTAAACCTGGGTTTCTACGTCACAGCCAACACCCTTTTCATTTTTTTCTATTGGTCAATAACCCATAATTTGACTATCTATTACTCTCCCCCACCTCTATTTCGTACCCCCACTACCATATTTGTACGACCGTGAGGTGGATTCCAGGAATCTCAGGGTCTCTCTCCCCTAACCATATATGGCTCGTAGAGTACCAGGAACTGGTGGTAGAGTACCAGGAACGTCGCTCCATCTTGATAGTATAGTAGTTTTTTCTCTATCTAAGCTATGAGTCACTTCACCCTGCCCTCAACAGCTCCAACGACCTACTTTGATGTTCATTACCTACGTTACTGATTTCCTACCTTACTTCCTACCTTACAACGTTATTAATCACTTCATATCTTAAATATTTTATTAAATCTCTCCTAATTTGTATCTTCTGCCCCCTTAATCACCTGTCATTAATAATGTTAATTGTATATCTCTTATTGTGGTAAGTACCATAATCTCATGCCTATAATACTTGTGCTACATGCAGAGGTGGTCGACACTTCACTTACTGACCTCTACTCTCTGAGCAATTACACCTGTGAAGCGTTAATTTCCAATTACCTGCGTGGTTTCCTTTCTCTCCTTTGGTAAGTGAGGGGGATTGGTACTAAACGTTAAACAAGTTGATCAACCGGGTTATTCCCTCTTTCACCGCCTTCCAGCATGTGACAGTGGGGGGACTGGACAGGTTTTAAGCAGGGACTGGACAGATTAAGGTCTTTAACTTTAATTCACTGGGGTCACTTGATAGATCACGGGTTGGCGGGGTCCACTTGCCAAACTGCGTCCTTTTGCTTGTCAAAAGTTGCGGCTGAAAACCACATAAATTTGGGACCGCCCACTCCCTAGAGTTTTTGTGCCGTGGAAGCGAAGGGGTTATCTGAAGCAACCAATCACTAGTTCGGAGTTAGCATATCAGTAGTTGGTGCTTTCTCCTGGCCTCCTTGTCTTATGCGACCTCACGGTTGTAGCGTTGACACAGGGTAATCTGCGGCCCACCAGCCAACCGTGGGATAATGCATACTGTAAGATAGGATAAGTATATAAATATACAATTTATATTAAAATTTCCAACTCTTTAAAAATAAGCATGTATACTAGTGCCTGGCATTAACATGAAGTCAGACTTCATGCCATTGATCTAACATTCAAATTAAAAATGTAATTTCTTTAAGTAAAGTTGATATTTTTATACTTATCCTGACTCATGATCTTTTAGCAATTTATGATATGCGTTAATAGTGAAGTAATTTTACAAATCAATGGAAAATACTTTACATTTATTGGACACTTTAACTGAAGATTGTTAAAGGTCACATGCAACGTAAAACACAACTTTGCAGATTCTGATACCTTTCGGTATGGACATACCGAAACAAATCGTCAAAAATGCAAATTCAACTTATAAAGTTGAAAAATAACGCGATGAAAAAAACCCCGCGAAATCGGAGTTCAAACGTTTCACTAATTTTCCCCAGACTTTTCTGGGGAAAAGCGGGTTTCAACAGCTGGGCTGCGCTCATAGCACGTCTTGCCAAGTAAATAGGTTCGCAGCTTGGAGGCGGGTTGTCGGGTGAATACTTTCGGTGAAGGCTTTGGTGTGAGCTATTTTTCTAATGTTTTGTTGATATCTCACAGGCTCGAGCTTTTTATATGTTATGACAGTAAATTAACTGTTTATATAATTTCGTTTGTCTATTTCACCCCACGTTCTTCTTACCGAGACACTTTCTCAGTTCGATACTTAAAAGCAATGTCATTATCTATCGTTGACAGAATTTCTAACTGTGATATAGATATGTCGTTGTCACAGACAAAACTCAATGTCTTGTTTTATTGACACCTGTGTGTCTGCCTGCCTGTCTGCTAATGACAATATTCAATACACAACTGCTATCACTGACCACATGCAATTTGAACTTAACACTAATCAGGCTATAAACCATAAACAAAATGCATTGATTTATGGCCCGAGTTCGGTCTCTGTCACATTATGTAATTACACAGACAGGCAGGTGTGATACTTGAACGCATGACATGTTATGATGTCTGTTGATTGCAAAATGTTATACACAAAAAAAAAAGAGCATGTATTTACAAAACCCAACATCTCTCTCTATATATACACACAATTAGCCGTGAAGGCATCTGCAAATGAACCAGCCGTTACACTTGAGTGCACACCCACCCGCTCTGACTGGGTTCGGTATCCCGGCTGCTTCGTTTCTTGGGAAGTAAACCGAAGTACACAATTTTGCACTTCGATTTGCGATTGTACGCTTATAATTTTGTTTATATAATTTTTGGTAACCAGCAATGTATATTATATGTCATGAATAAGTGATAATTGTGTTTTAATTATGTTTGATTTTTTGGTTGCATGTGACCTTTAAGTAGTTCAAAGGTCTAATGAGAAACCAGAACATTAAGAAATATACTAGTTTTGTGTTCTCTTTCATCCAAGAATTTTCAGTTTCTAGGTGATAAAATTAAAAAGAAATGTCTTGAATTCGTGGCAATGAAATAAAAGGGCAGATGTTTTTCAGTCACTTTGTAAAATTACTTAAGTATGTAGGCATGTTGCTGCTTCAGTGAAACTTTCATTATATTTACACATTGACCTGATGACACACTGCTTAGTACCTCTCAACGATGAATGTAATATTCCTGTTGATGATACTCGACTTGACAGTACAGAATGTATAACTTCTCATGTAACTGCTTGTGTAAGTCATGACACTTGACTTGCTGCAGGGTGTGAGGGGGGGGCTTCCCCTATCTGATCGGCGGCAAGTACGCTGAGGATTTCGGACTGGTGGAGGAGGACTGCAACCCCTACAAGGGCAAGGATGGATCTTGTTCCACCTTAAAAAGCTGCGGGCGAAGATACTCCACACGATATGAATATATAGGAGGATACTATGGAGCGTGAGTAATTCTCTCTGATTTCGTGCATAACCTATGGAGATTCTAGCTGAAAATGAGACCCTGGACCTAACTCGGTGGGATTTCAACAAATGGGAAATGCAGGCATGTGGAATTACAGACTACAAATCTGTTGGTACTTGTCCAAATTATGGATGCCAGATTATGTTCATTACAAGATGTAAATGTATTTACAACCAAGATTATTGATAAAATCCAAATATGTTTAGAGCAGCAGGTATGGCCTTCCTGCTTGATCCCCAGTAGCTCAAGATATATTACACCTTTTCTAATTTCACTCTGTCAAGACCTGTTTATTTCTACGGTTGTCTGTGGGCAAATGAAGCATATTGTTTTGTTTGATCTGTGAGTTAGTTCTACATTTACTTTCCGTACACCTGAACTGGGCAGAAAGGATCATTGCTCATGCTGTGAACCAGTCAGCAATTGATTATTTACAGATTCCAACAATAAGGTTGAAATATTCAAATAGAGGGACCCGTGAAGATCCGGGTTAGAATTGATCTTCAGTAACCCATGCTTGTCATAAGAGGCGATTGGGTGGTCAGGCTCGCTGACTTGGTTGACACATGTCATCGGTTCCCAACTGCGTAGATCGATGCTCATGCTGTTGATCATTGGATCATCTGGTCCAGACTGGATTATTTACAGACCCCCGCCATATAGCTGGAATATTGCTGAGTGCGGCGTAATACTAAACTCACTCACTCAAACAGAGGCATCAAACATTCACCCACGGGGCTAGTACTGTTATGTGAAGTCATTGACAGATTGAAGTGTGAACATTGAGGATTCATAATCAGTATAAATATTCACCAGTTTGATACTATTAAATTCCCTGATAGTTTTATAACCAGTAAAGTAAGTTTAATTTCAAGTTCATGATGAGAAAATTAGAATGGGAGCCGTATGTGTTCCGATTGTTTACCAACTTCATGGTGATTGCAGATGTAATGAAAAACTGATGAAAATAGCCCTGGTGGAGAACGGTCCTGTTGCTGTGGGGTTTGAAGTATACAAAGATTTCCAGGCCTACAAAGGAGGCATCTACCACTTCACCGGCGTGACAGGGTCATACAACCCCTTTGAGATAACAAACCATGCAGTACTGGTCGTAGGGTACGGAGCTGACCAAAAGACTGGAGAGAAGTTCTGGTCTGTCAAGAACAGTTGGGGGCCACAGTGGGGAGAAAGCGGCTACTTCCGCATCCGGCGTGGAACTGATGAGTGCGGCATTGAGTCACTAGCCGTGCAATCCTTCCCCATAATGTAAACCCATTCTTTCCCCCCTCCTTCCCATCCTGATTTAGATGTTTTATGTTTTTACAAATATATTTATTTTAATAATTATAACATTAAAACCCTGTGATTGCCTTTATACTTGGAGGAGACATTCTACCAAACCTATCCTTATCTCAATAATGAAAGCTATCTCCACTCACTATATGTTCACTTTAGACTGGGTAAGTTGTACACAAGAAATGAGTTGATGTATATATTTAATGTATTTACTAGTCATGTGAAAGTGCTACTAGTTTATAAGGACAAGGACCTCAGACTTCAGTGCTTCAGATTTTGTTGTATGGAAGATCAATCTATGAATGATGCATATGTTTAACCAGATATTGCCAACGTATTTTCATACTTGTATATTTTGTAAAAGTGTGGTTCCTGTATAGTCATATTTTTCTAAACATTCCATATTTCAGGAATTTGTCCTGAAAACATGCATGCAACTAACAAGTGAACCATTGTCCAGTTTTAAAAACCTACTTCAATGCTAAGTTTTGGGAAGTAGTCATGTCATGGTTATTGAAATAAACGTGTGTTAGTGACTTCGTACAGGAGTGTCACTCCCCAGAAAAAAAATAAAATGACAATGTATGATATTTTGTCACTAGAAGGTGTTATCCTAAAGAACACTGAGCCTTTGCCTGTTTTTTTCCAAGTTAAGCACTCAGGGAATCCCATATTTGATGATTATGTCAACACAAATGTACACGTTAGATAAATCGTGCTGCTGTAACAGATTAATGTTTTGTCAGTCCTAGACAATAGCCGTGTTTAAGTGAATTGCAGTGTGGTTACAGTATGGGTCTTAACACCCCTACAGACAAAGTAACGACCCATGCCTTGTATTTCACGGTTTATTTACACCACACCATCAGAAATGTACATTCCAGCATTTGTTAAAGTTTCCAATAAATTGGTCCTCATATCATGCAATTGTATTATTATCATTTTTTCAAATCTTTAACCATATCAATAATTTTCACAGTGGTCTACCATTTGACAAAATACTATTAAAAAACCCACCTAAAACCCTTCTTGCCAAAAATATTTTTTTCTGGAAGTAATAAGGGCATGTATTTCAAGAAAAAAACAGGTTCTGCGTGTCAACTATGACCAATCGGAATCACATTCATTGCAAGTATTCTGTCAATTTCCGGCCCTATATTTAGACTGGTTAACAAGTAAACTTGCAGTCCATTGTTTCCACTACCAAGTTTATACTCTTGATTCTGATATTTGTGGTTCTGACCATCAAGTAGTTCACTATATTCGTACAACCTTGTGATGTCATCATACTGTGACATCTTGGAGGATTATAGATGACACAAATGTCTACAGCCGCTGCACAAGAACAATTTGTTAAAAACAAAAAAAATCAATTTCATCAGTTTCATCTTCACAAGATTATTTTCAACATGTTATCCTGGTTGCCATTGGAGATGATAAACAGTCCATGTTTTTGACACTTGGACAGATGGCTGTAGGTCAAACACTGGATGTTTTCCACACTTCGTACTCATCCCCCTGTACCAGCATCGAGTCCTAAACATCAGCAATGTCCGGTGTTGTGTTTTCATTCCAACATGATTCCTCAAAAATGACCTCCCAATCACTTAAAACTAAAGCTGCCTTCAACTGAAGTAACCCAGAGTTGTCCCCCTTGATGGATACTTCTGTGCATGTCATGCTCCACACATGGCAGACTGATCCTCATATTTTTATACACAGAGGAACACGTCTGTTTCCATCAATCTGAGGTGTCTGCCAGATCTAATCTCCGAAATTTATCAAGGTTGTAGAAACAAGCTTTAACAATTTTTCCTCCAAAATACCGTCCATTCAAGTCCACTAAAGCTGAAAAAAAAATGAAACAAAGCTTACAATAACAAAATACACCAAACTTGATCATATTTAGAAAATAAAGTTCGCTCTACCCCAATGTGTTTTGTAATAAAGTATAGTTTTGCCCTGAACTATTATAATTAAAGCACGAGGACGGTAATGAAGAGTGATTGTTGATGATAAATAGAATCTCACCCTCGTGTCTTGTGATATCAAATATATCAACACTCGTTGATAAAAGTAAAAATATCCTCGGCAAGCCTCGGATATTTGTAACTTTATTAACTCGTGGTGATAGGTGATATATTTGATATCAAAAGACACTCGGGTGAGATTCTCTATATATTATACAGCTCCCATTCTTTAAGACTGACCTATAGCAGTCATAGCACTATGTTCGGTTTGTGGAGTGGGGCCCAGTGTTATGAATGTCTGCCATTACATTTTTCTGAGTATATTTATCAATCTCATAATAATAGAAAAAGGAATAATGGTGCACATACTGCTATACGTGCTAATTCAGGGACAAGACAAATGGAACCAGTTCTTTGCATCAAGAAAACATGGGTATCTTGTGATGAAAACTTCCAAAGGAGCAAATAAATACTGCTGCTACTAAGTCTTTATAATGCAGCAGATTCCATCCATAATTTAATTTATAATTTAAGAGATGTTAACCTACTTGCACTAGGTGCAACCTAAGATAAAACCTAGTTGCACCAGCCAAATTCCAGTTGCACTGCTTTTATTGCAATATGTAATGAAAGAAATATGCTATTGAATTATTTAGATGTTTTTTTTCAGAAGTTTACCCACTCAAAAATTGACTTGCACCTGGTGCAAGTTAGACTAATAACTAGGTTGCACTTTGTAATATTGGGTTGCACCAGTGCAAGTAACAAAGCACTAAATCGAGCCCTGTCATTAATATCCCAGTCAATGGATCAGTGGCCATCATTTTTATCTCAGCTCCATGGGGATGATACAACCCTTGGTGTTTGAAGGTTAACAGTCACATTACCATCTGTTCCTACTTGGTACCCATTCACTGCTGTGGGAACAGAAACATCTTTCAAGCAAAGTCACTTCATTCTCAGCTTCCTGGGGAGTATACAATCTCATCCTATTTGGTACCCACTTACAGCTGAGATAGCAGAGGTATACTACAAACAACACTTGTCTAATGAGACAACACATGCTATATGTGCATTAGTTTGGGGGCAGTTTTGATTGGGATTCAAAGAAGGTATCTCTAAAATCTGTGCTCACATGACACTGAACATCACCTCACCTTTAATTGCAGACTCCATTCTTTCAAACTCCACAAATATCCTTACTGCCTCCTCTTCAACCTGGCCTGGAATCTGCTCAAATACAACAATTTGCTTCAACAGTGTAAACATACAACTAAATACAACTAAATACAACTACATTGTAAAATATTTCAACTTAATTGTTAGTCATAGCAAAACAAACAGTTATTTTTATTTCAGCGAAGGGAAAGGTAAATGTAATTTTTTGAGTAAAATTGATATTTTATACTTATCCTGACTCATGCTCTTTTGCTTGTCCCCTTCCTCTTGCGAACATAGTGGAACACTTGTATCTCCTTAATTGAAGCTCCCATCAATGTAAAATCACTAATTGGTACTCACCCAAGAGTTGCCTCCCCTGCCGCAAGCGCGGGAACAGGTGTCGCCACCCTCTGGCCTCTTGCTTCACTCTCTCCTGATTTTGCGAGCCCAACACTTGAATTTACAGGGAAATCCAAAGTGTTATGTGGGGAGGATGGGAGGGCTAACCTCATGAGTCAGGATAAGTATAAAATATCAATTTTACTCAAAAAATTACATATTTTTCCTTATCCTGACTCATGCTCTTTTGCTTGTAGAATCCACCGGAGTGGTGGTGGGCATAAACAGAATACTTTGGATTAATAATTAGTGATTTAAATAACTTATACTGTAATAACCCCTGCGGGAACTTCATAAAGGCATTGACTTAGGATATTTCCTTTATAATAAGCCATAGGTTATATATACCATAACTGGGGTATTACATTACTAATAGACTGATATACCAATTTATAGATGGTGAATGCCAGAGACGTCCTCGGTGGTGATATCTCTCAGATAGTGATTAGCAAACACCATGTTAGATTTCCAGAAGCATCCTTCCATAATTGTATTCAATGAACAGTTACCGTGAAGGGCGAGGGTGGAGGCCAATGCCCTGATTTCATGTGGATTTGATGCTGTTGGAGGGTCCAGTCCTGCTGCCTTGTAGGCGCGTAGAATGACAGTTCTTATCCATATAGATATGGTGGTACGAGAGACTTCTGTCTGATTAGTAGGCGATAACGGGATGAACAATCTTCTGAGCGATCTTCGCCTTGTTTTGGAACGACGTAAATAGATTTTGAGAGCTCGTACTGGGCATAGAGATAAGTCCAATGTATCTTGAGATCCGAGAATCGAGGATAGCGCAGGGACGTGAAATAACCTGTCTGGTTGTCCTGGTAGTTGATTTTTGGCGATGAAATCCCATCTTAATCCCAGGTGCGCTGTCTTTTGATTGTCATCAAACTGTATCCTCTCATAATCTAGAGCGTGAATTTCAGATATTCTGGCTGCCGTGGCTAGCGATAACAGGAAAATTGTTTTCTGTGAGAGAAATTCAAAGGTTGTCGATTCCAATGGTTCATAATCCTCACTTGTGAGGTGTTGTAGCACTACATTCAGATCCCAAGCTGGGGGCGTGGAACTTCCGCTTTTGGTCCTCCAATCGGAAAGCACGTAGTAAGGCCAGTAACTCTGGTGTTTTTGTCAATTTAACACCCGTTCTCATAGAAATCACAGAACTAAGCGCGGCAAGATATGTTGACAATGTCGAGCCTTTTAAATGTTTGTTTTGCCGTAAGTAACACAAATAGTCTGCTACTTGAGGATGCGTAGCATCTCTTGCTGTAAAACCCTTGTTTGCTGCATAATTTTCGAAACCGTGCCACTTGTCGTCGTACAAGTTACGCGTTGAGTATCGTAAGGCAAGCGTGACCGCTTTTGCCGCCCTGGTAGAATATCCTCTCTTGTTTAAACACATTTTAATACAGTCCATACGTGAAGTTTGAATACTTCTGGGTTTCTGTGCACCTGTTTGGTGTGTGGATGTATTAACAGCTTTGAGCGCTTGGGTATCTCTAGTGCCGGTTGACCGATTTCTTGTATTAGAGCGGGAAGTAGGGCGCGACCAAAATAAGTTGTAGGCTCTGTGTTTGGCTGATTTTCTGTAATACTTGAGGTATTATTGCTGGGGGCGGAAACGCTGCGTAGCTGCGGTAGATGTATCATGTGGAACTTCGGTGGTCTGCGTAGATAAGTCTTGTTGAAGAAGCTCATGTTGTAAATGAGTCTGTATTTCTCCTTGGAGTTTTTCTTGGGTACTAGGAAAACTGGGGAGTAGAAACCTGGTTCGATGTTTCCTTGATCTATTACTTCTATGGCCTGCTTGGTTAGGAGTAATGTAACAGCCTCTCTTAACTTTAGTAGTTGCTGTGCCTGTACCTCGAACTTGGGAGGGTTGACTGTTAGCGGAGGCTTGGCCTGTAGTGGGATACGAAATCCGCGTTGAAGAATGTTGGAGACATAGGTGTCTTGAAGTATTCCCCAGTTTTCCCAGTGTAGTTGGAGACGTCCACCCACTTGTGGCGGTTGTACTGGAACGGCTGGGGTGGAAGACTCCAGTCGTTCGAACCTGTCTTTCAGCGTTTATAGTTGCGGGAACCTCTGGGTGTCCTGCCTCTTCCTGACCCTCCTCTATAGTTGCCATATGGCTTGATTTTAAAAGAATCTCTTCCCCTGGAACTGGCTATCTTCCTGTCTCTTGCTCTTTGTAGGCCCGTGAATTTAGATCTCCCTGAGTATCTTTGTGAAGTCTGTCGAATGACACTGGCTAGCGTGTCCATCGATTTAATCATCAGGACTTCTCTGGAATCCTTGGTGACTTCCTTGGAGACTTTGTCTATTCCTCCGTCAAAGATGGATGGGGAAGACCACGGGCTGTATATAGTGGAGCTGTAAAGTTCTCACCCCAGTTGCAGGAAGCGAGGAGGCCTTGACGACGAGCTAAGGTCAATGCTGCTGCTGACAGGAGACAGAGATGATCTGTTAAGAACTGCTGGTCCTTCTTTGCATCAGTAGGGCCGAGTAAATCATTCTATCATCTTCAGAGGTCGTGTTACGAAATCTGGTGATAAGTGTCTCATTTATTGTTCTAGATCTATTTAGACCAAAGAACATACGCCTCGTCATGGTTTGTATCTGAACCAATTTTTGATCATCAATCTTGTAGTACTTGTTCTTGGCATCGGAGATCAGTTTGTAGTTCTCATCGATGTCTTGCGCCTTGAAGAAGGGGTCCATATTATGCGTGGAGAACTTCTTGGCATGAAAGTTTGGCAGATGTGGTGTTTGAACCTTCGTGGCTTTGTTGAATGCTGTATCTAGGTTCTGTGGTACCGCCGCAATCGGGTCGATTGGGGGTAGTGTAATAGCATCTGCATCGTCTTCTTTCATCAGATAAGTCTGCGCCGAATTGCCACTCTTGGAAGGTGATGAGAGATCTAGATTATTGACCATCCAATATCTTATCTCTGCATCTGAGAAAATAATTCCTCCATCATCTTCCATTCCGTCATCATAAATGAGAGGTTGTTGCTCTTCTGATGTAGGACTGTGTGGCTCTATCTCTATATCGTTTGACGCTTGTGGAGATCTAGTTGTAGGCTTATGTGCAGACCTGTGAGGTGATCGGCGTGGTGATGTGCGTGGAGATCGGCGGTGATCGGGCGAGGCGATCGTCTTGGTGATCTACATCGATAGGTTGATCTTCTTGGCGACCTATGAGGGGACCGTTGGTAGCTCCGCGAAGCTCTTGTGTAGTCCCTCGATGTCCTTTTAGATGATGATGACGATCTGGGTTCAGGTGTCCTTCGCGAACGCCTTCCTCTGCGTCCGGTCCTGGGGAACGGTGATATGACCTTCGCGAAGGCTTCCTTGAGGTCTGATGATCAGATTCCGTATCTGAGTATGACGCCGAAGAGGGTGATGATCTTTCCAACCTTCGCGAAGGCCCGCGAAGGCTGTACATCTGGGTCCTTCGTGGAGGTGGTCTGTGACTTCCTTCGCTGGCGGCATCATCGTCGTGGCTGCTACGTTGACTGGGGGTGCCTCTGGGGTGCTGTCTACGTTGGAGCCTTCGCGAAGGCTCGGACCCTGGGATGGCTGCTTCTCCAGTCTGTAGTGGCCTTCCATCATGATCATGATCTGCTTCATTAGATCGTCTGGGATGATCTGCGGCGTAGTAGATGGTGCCCTCTCTGCGCTGATAGCGGTGGGGCCCTCCGCGATCTCGTCTGACATCAGTGTAGAGGCATCAGGCTGCATGGTGATCTCTGCTGAAGTCACTGTCGCTGTCACTGGTCGCTTCTTGTGGCGTATGTCGGGTATGATGATTGGTTGATCATCGTAGAGGCCCAATTCTGCTGCTGGAACGATCTCTGCTGAGAAAGTTCTCGATGACTTCGTAGATTTCCCTTTGGAGGATGACGCTGCCCTGGGGGTACGAAGTCTGCGTTGAGAAGACGTTGAGGCCCTCTTGGACTTTATCTGCGATGACGGGATGTCTGGGGAGGCCGGTCGCTTCTTAGAGGTGACGGACTGCATCCCACGTCCCTCTTCCGATGGGGTCTCAAGCAGAACACCAGACGGGAGGGGATCGCTCGACAGCAGCTGACTGGATGGGAAATCCGATGTATCGGCCATGTCTACACCTAGTTTGCGTGACCTATCTGCAACACGTCTCAAGACGCAAAGATGGTATTTATTAAAGGCAGAATTGGTTAAATTAATGCAGTAACTGCAACGTGAATCAAACGCACAAGGCGTAGTACAACTAGGGCATACTACATGCGGATCTGCAGCGGAAAAACGTAATCTACAAATAGTACAGTTTTTCATCAACGTAATACTAGCTGAACAATCACGAACTCACGTGAATAAACAGTAGAAATACGATTAATTATCAATGCAAATTAATGAAGGATACTAGCTATACCTTTATAGTAAACTATAAGAGGTAACTAACTAAGAAAACCAAAGGATATAGTGTGTAAGGAGACACAGGCGCTCTCACATCCTGCTCACTGGGCGAAGAAGGAGAGAGTGAAGCATGAGGCCAGAGGGTGGCGACACCTGTTCCCGCGCTTGAGGCAGGGGAGGCAACTCTTGGGTGAGTACCAATTAGTGATTTTACATTGAAGGGAGCTTCAATTAAGGAGATACAAGTGTTCCACTATGTTCGCAAGAGGAAGGGGACAAGCAAAAGAGCATGAGTCAGGATAAGGAAAAATAAGTAATTTCAACATATATTCTACTATTTCTTTTCAACAAAAATATACCTGAAATGTTCCTTTTATCCAAGAAAGCACTCCCTCTCTCTTTACAATTGTTTTGATACATGAACTTGTGATGTCCTTGAACTTGACACATTATGCAGTGAAAGAAGCTAGGTAACTTCAAGATGTGGAACCAAAACTCACCTCAAATATAATGCACTTGATAACCTTTCCATATTTGGTACACTCTTCGGCAGTCTCTGGTTCCAGGTCTTCATCCACCTCTCCCGGGCCGACCATGTTCTGAAAGAGCAACACAACATTATACAACAGCCACAAAAACAGGTGTCAGATCAAGCATTCACCTTGAACAGTATGTTACTTATACAGTGATGTGAAATAAAACAGCCCACTGAAGATACCCATAAAGGAAGAGTATTTCAGTTCTACCAGTGACACACATTGTAATCACACTGAAGATACCCATAAAAATATGGCTAAAGGTGATAACTGGGATTTGAAATCATAACCAGCAGATCCTTGTTTGACTAAGGGAAAGAACTCTTAATAGGCACTAGCAGTGCCTTTGACCTCTTGTCTATAACAAATAAGTCACAGTACAACTTCATCACAAAATTTACAGTACACATTTCTTTCATTCTGTTATCAAAAAATCCCAAAATATCTATCCAGGCCCCATATTTTTTCCGATGATGCGAGCGTAATGTACAAAGTTAAATCCAATTTTAAAGTTAGGGTGTTACAATCATCAAAACGCTAAGATCACATTGTGGAGTGCGGCCCAGGATTGACTTCAGAACAGGTAAAGTAACATGTATAAACATGCCATATGTAATACAACTGTACATTAGCGTCACTTACTCTCAGTAAAATAACCTTGGAAGGATTCCGCAGCAGGTTTGTATTGGAAGGAGACTCCCTCTGCACTTCTACAACAGATAATAATACAGACATACAGGCAAAACACAAACACATTCCATAATGTTCACAGTGGCTGAGTGGGTTAGATCGCTAACTTTGTGTGCTGGCAATCTGGTGCCTCAACCGGAGAGTGTGGGTTTGAATCCCAGGTGAGACGGAACCCTCCAAAAGTATGAGACTTTGTATTTGACTGTGTTTACATTTGTCGGAGGGGTACACAACGTACATGATCAAGACTTCCATTTTTATTAAAGTTGTGGTGGCTGTGTGGGTGAGATAGCTGAATTCTTGTGTTGGTGATTAGGTGCCTCACTCTGAAAGTGTGGGTTCCAATCTTGAGTGGGACTCAAACGGTACTAGAAGCTGTACTTTACCGAAAAGGTAATGCCAGATATAGCGTGTGTTACACATTAGTGTTGGGAATTGGTTAAAATCTCATAATTGATGGTTGGTTCATTACAACCGATCAATCATCGAAAGTAATTGGTTAGCGTCATTTATGAAATGTGTTAATGCACAAAAAAATAAGGAAAAAAACATGGAGTTCTTTGGGTGTTTTTTGGCAAAATTTCACATCTTTAAAGGATGACTAGTATGGAGGAACATAAATTTCTTAGAGTCTTTAAGATAAATTCAATCATGACTTGGAACGAGCTTGTAGTGCTTATGAAATGTAACAGACAAAACCAACCTAGTGAAAAATATTGTTAATGAAAACAAGTGTACTAGAATTGTTTGTGTTCGATTATGAGAAAACATGATCGATTGCTTGGTCATTTGGTCACTGCGACCAATCTTCGATTATTTCAATTAATCAGACCACCACTATTACACATCTGACCATTTTCTGAAAGGCATTGTGCATTTACATTCCAAACTGTCACTTAAGTTGCTGTGACCACGTGGCAATGTACCTTTCACGTTCTTCTTGATAAGAAAGAGATCCCACTTTGAAGGTTTGTATGCCCCTTACCCACACCTCAGTGGTGTCAGCAATGGGGGTTTGACCAGCCAAGTGGTAACTGATATATACTTGTAAATGTGTACAATTATCAAACATGGTGGCCGGACCTCCATGCACAGCTTTGATTTGCTGAATTTCATTTGCTATTTCCTCCATTACCATAAGCTTAAGGATGTGGACCATCCTTCTGACAATCTCTCCAAAATATGATCTAACCATTTCTGTTGTGGATCATCAGTCAGATTCAAATCAAAATCTGTTGAGATACCATACTTCCTGGACTAAATGAGCAGGCATGCATTTCTTTAGACACTCTTTAGCCTTAGAAATTAGTCACCAAGGTAATAACAGCAAGAATTCATTGCATAATATTACTTGGTGCTAATCAATGGTTTCTGCTCCTAAGGAGGGTAATACAGTAATGACGTAAGCAGTAGCTCTAGTTTAACAGGTGTGGTGCACCCACCTTTAGGCAGGTCCTTCTCATGGATGATCTTGCCGCCCCTCTTGCTGGTCTTCTCCACAAACAGAGCAGTACTCATCCCCTGCTCCTGCTTGCCCAGACCTTGACCTTCCTTGTAGCCATACTTTGCCATGATCCTAGATGCCACAGACCCTCTGGAACAAAACGGCACGTCCACAATCACAGATGAAACAATGTAGACTGGTTATATATCTCAAACTACTATAACCACTAATGTTACATTAGAATCCTGGTACACAGCACTGATTATTTGCAACTTAGCTTCTGGAGACGACAGGGTCTGTAGAATATCTGCATGGTCTGTGGAATATTACTGGCCTGGGTCTAGATTCTCGAAGCTCTCTTAGCCATAGATAGTCATAAGTGCCATATATTAACATTAACATACGACTATCTTAGCGCTAAGACAGCTTCGAAAATGTAGCCCCTGGTGCTGACTGCACTCAATAATCCAGCTATATACATAACAGCCCAAAAGTAATCATGTCTGGCCCTGACAATGCTGATTTCTTGATCCAGTGATAAAGAGATTAGTAATGTCATGGTACTCAGTGACGTCACAATGGTCTGTAAAGCATTGTGATGCTATTTCATTGAAGCAATATCTCCTTGGAATCAATATCACATGACATCACTTAAGCGATACATCTTGTTAGGATGATAAATGACTTTTCCGATGTCAGACAGTTTTGTAAACCAACCAGTAAGAAATGAAAGGACTCAACATACCCGAGTCCCAAGGTGTAACCAGTTGGAGGCGAGTTGGAACGGTTTGGCATCACAGGCTCGGAGGCTGAACAAGAAAACGTACTCACATTAACATTACAAGTCAAAGAAACATTTCTGTAAAGCAGATATACATGTACTTGATATATCCATTACCTGTCAGTATCACTGGTAAAAAGTGTGTCAGCAATGGTCAAGTCTAACAAACCTAAAACATTGCCATTTACATGGAACTGCATAATAAACAGTAGTTCTACCCAAGCTTAAACATTTTAAGTATACAAACATAAGAAAATATTTCAAATATAAGCAGCAGTAGCTAGTTCTATGTTGTGGTTGTGTTAAACCAGATATATCACTGAACATGTACATAATCATGCCAGGAAAACTAGTGGTCGATATCATGAGTGATGCCCCATGATTCAGAAAATGACAGGTTAGTCATGTCCAGCACACTTACCTTCTTTGGGTGGAGCGTTGTCCTCAAGCAGCGACATGGGCGGGGCGATGGCAGCACCACTCGCTGGAATACACAGGAAACAACATAACTTGTGACATTCCCTTAAGGATTGCAAAAGGATGCAAGCAAAATACAGGTGAGAGAACTTGCATCATTTACCAATGTACTGATGCATTGCTAATTTACACACATTGACATTACCCATGATATGCAAACATGGGAAAGGGTGAGGGAAGAAGGGAGAGGGGGAAGGAGAGAAGAGGACATCGGAGGTTGTAAGGATGGGGGAGAGGGTAGGAGGGGGTACGGTATGGGAGTATGGGAGTCTGACGTTGGAAGGATTGGGGGGAGGGAGGAAAGGAGAGGGGAAGGTTGTATGTACAGCAGAATATACTGTGTCTGTATAAAAACACTGTTGGTTGTCTTCTCCAAACTTCATTAACTTCTCGTTGGAGCATCGTTTAAACAAAAATCAAAATCTTAACTAGCTTGCTCGAAATTACACCTATACATACACAGGAGACAACTTTCACATTTCTGTATAAACGATCAATATGGATTGTGTTATCCTTAAACGTTATCCTTACATCTGGGCTTCTCGTATCCCTCCTCTTCTTCTTCTTGCTCCCTGCGACGCTTTGCTCGGTCCATCTCTCCCTCCTCCTCTCTCACTCTGTCTCGATCTCTTTCTCTTTCTCTCTCTCTCTCGGGTCGACGTCGAGATGAGCGTCTATAAACGATACAACTGAATCTCTAAGGGCACATTCAGCTGATTGGAATAGTGGACATGACAAACTGACCTTAAGATTGATGCTATTATGTATGGTTGAAATGTATATTTGCAGGTACAAGTGCTGGACCAGTGTCCACAATAAATTATCCTCATCTTAACCCATGTGAAGAAAAACAAACAAGAAGTCCCTAGATTGTTCACTTCTAACACTAACCAGTCAACAAAACAATGGGTTGAAGGAACCTATGGGTTTCAGAAATTGAGGACTCGCTCACAATGGTCAATGACCAGGATTTCTTGGAAAACTGAAGCACTGGTCGATCAAAATGTTGGAATATTCTAAGGATGCACCAAATCTACTAAACAATTACTTTCAGTGAGTGAGGTTGGTTTTATGCCGCCTTTAGCAATATTCCAGCAATATCACGGCAGGAACACCAGAAATGGGCTTCAAACATTGTACACATGTTGGGAATCAACGGGTATCAAGCTGACCAAAGTACCAGAGATTCTGGCACTACTACGCTCGTTCAAGTTGGAAGACCAACAAAAGAAGTTTAAGGCTCCTGCCAGGGATCTCAACATAGTTCTACAACATCTCACCAGTGATGCCTACGAGCCTCTAGAACGGCCATCCTTTGAACTACTTTCTCAGAAAACGCTGTTCCTGATTGCCCTAGCAACAGCTGCAAGGATGTCAGAAATACATGCTCTGGACTTTGAACGAACACGATTTGAATCAAGACATCGTGACATCATACATCTTGGACTGAGATGGGAGCAATATAGCAACTCTATCACGGCAGGAACACCAGAAATGGGCTTCACACATTGTACCCATGTTGGGAATCAAACCCGGGTCTTCGGGCATAACAAGCGAACATTTTAACAACTAGTCTACCCCACCGCTCTTAGACTGGCAGGACAGGGTTTATGTACACTAAAGGTATGGTATGTTGTTCATGCTATCAACCACTGGTTTGCCTGGTATGGATTTGGAGATTTACAAAACACAGTGATAGAGCTGGAATATTGCTGACTGTGGCATAAATACCATACAATCAAGAACACGACTCACCCTTCCTCTGCCTCCCTCCTCTTCTCCTCTTCACGCTCCTTCTGTTTTGCTTCTCGCCTCTTCTTCACAATGTCCTCATACTCATTGGGACGGAATGGGTCATACTCGTCCTGCACCCCGGTGATTGAAGGCACTGGGTCAGATGCAATGAACGGGGCAGTGGAACTTACAGGTGGGGTGCTGGGCTGGTCGGCTCTCTCCAACTACAGATCAGGATAAATTCAAGGTCAGTTTTGACAAAATCATCTATAGCCCAATACTACTTATAGGTGAATTGTTCACTCAAGCAGCAATAACTGAACATGCTGAAGATACATCTTGTTAAAGGAGCTATATTTCTCTCAGTGCTATGGCATGTTTCTCCTAATCCACAGGTGTAAAAACATCATCCTAATATTAACACAATATTGTGTGTGTGTGCATGCATGTGACATGCTTGTCCTAAGCGCTGACCTAAGGTTTTGTAATGTGATGAAATGTGTTCCCCTCAATGAGTTGCTCAGAGTATCAGCCACTACTTGTCTGGTCTAGGATTGATCATTTACAGGCCATTGGGACATGACTCGAACATGGCGCTGATATCACAATATACAAAATACTCTGTTATTATCAATGTAAGTTTCTAACAGTGCGAATGAGAACTGTTTTACAGTCAAAGTTTCTCGTGGACAACAAGGATTATCATTTTAACTTCCTAATACCTTTCCTGTCTGAAGATTGAAGTGAAGTTCCGAGGCTTCGTTCCGCTTAAGGTCTATCACCGGAGCCAGTATTGATCCCTGACGTGGACGCTGTAATATAACCATAATGGTATCAATATCAGTCTGAAATCAATTAGTATGAGCACATTTTACTTACCTTTGATAACTATATTAGGCCTACCTTTGGTGTGGTCAGGTAGGCTTAACTAAATTAGGCCTACCTTTGGTGTGGTCAGGTAGGCTTAACTATATTAGACCTACCTTTGTTGTGGTGAGATTAGCTTAACTATATTAGACCAACCTTGGGTGTGGTCAGGTTAGCTTTCTTAGCCTGCAGCTGTGACTGAAGCAGTTTGAACCCTGAAGACCAGCCAGCTGCAAGTACAACACAACAGATCGGGTAACACTTCAAAACATGCAATGCCACATTAACAATGATTACTACTGATTAAGTTTGAATTAAAGTCACAATAAATAGTCTGAATCTAGGTATAGTGTTTGAAATTATAAGTTTGGTTGATTAGATGTGAGGCCTCCATTATCAGTTGGGTAATATGCTACGTAATATTTAGACACTGGATCTCTAAAGAGCAGGAACACAAAAATCAAAGAATCCCATAAATGACAACAACAGCTTCTGGTTTTATACTGCCATGCGATATGTTTGTGATATAAAGAGACTGTTGGTGGTATAGGGAAGGGGATGCCACAGTCTTCCTGGACCAGGTACAGTTCCTGAGGATCACTTACAGTCCACATTGTTGCTGATTCCACCCTCAGTGTTATCGAGATCCAAGCCATCATAAAGCGACATTGTAACTGGAAAGTAATCCTGTACTAACCGCCTGAAACAATGAAAAAGATAACTTAGTGCTAGCTAAATTCAAAGCAGGAACAGAAATGCAATTTGTTTCGAGGTGTGCCGTAAGGCACAAGACAGATAATTTAGGTGAGCCTTTGTGAAAATAAGTGTGCCGATTTCAATATCTACCATGTCATAGCACACAAATCAAGCACTATTTCGATCACTGCATAGGTTTATTTGTTTGCAGCTCAGTGAGAGTAACACATCCATTAGTCAAAACCCAAGTGAGCATGCATGATTAGTACAAGAAATCAGTCAATAACACAAGTCAACCATCGTACAGTGCAGGGTTGTTGAGAATTTAGAGTTGATCTATTGATCTGGTCCTTAAGCATTTTTTTTGGTGTTAAGCATTTTAAGAATAGGGTGAAACAGGCACTGGAAAGTGGAGGACAAAAGCATTTTATCTTTTCAGAATAATTTTAGTTGGCAAAATGTTATCCCTTCCATATATGTTCAATACTTCTGCATTCTCCGTGAAAAGATCTGAAATATACTGGTACACTGGAACTTACACTTACAGATTGGTAGAAGGATATAAGTTTATTACCGAGAATACAGTGAATGCAATAACTACATGACATCCCTTCCTTTCAATCTTTAAATCTAGTGATCACGATTGGAAATATCATGTAGATATGGATGTTAAGATCATTATTGTCAGCAAGGACAGTCTCAAGGTTATTAGAGTGAGTGAGTGAGTGAGTTTAGTTTGACTCTGCTTTTAGCAATATTCCAGCAATATCACAGCAGGGGGCACCAGAAATGGGCTAAGGTCATTAGAAACTTTCCTCAAATATGATAATAATTATTAACTCACAATTACATTTCCAGAATATGCCGAGCTCTCAAAAACATATATAGTAATGAAATAGCAATTTATCTAGAAAGCATCTCTGATCCAACGTTTGCTATGTAAATTAACACAATACCAATATCTTCTGAGGTATACTATCACTAAAGATAAATTCCTTTTAAAGTACGATTTACCAAACACGGATATAGAATGTATTTTAGTACTTTTACAAAATCAGTGACCTCATATCATGATGGGCAGGCCTAACAGAGCTGGGTATCTACGATCACATTGTGCAAGTCTTAGACTCTAAGTTAGAGACAAGAACACAACATAGTGGCATATAGATGTCATTGATCAACGTTTTCAAGATTTCAACGATGTTTTTTCCACATTTTAGAGAGCAATTACTCGACGAGTAACAAAACGTTAATGTGTCTACTTTATGGTCGAAATTAGGACAATCTCACTGGAGATGAAAAAGTAAAGGTGTTTCGAGTAAACAAATTGTACTTATTAGTTGATTTATCTTCCAAATACCGATACACATGTAGAAATGATTAAATGCTGAAGAAAGGATCAGATCTGTAGACAAAATCCCTACCTTTTTCACTAATTCGAGCGTGCAAACATTGCTCGCAGAAAATAACCGGAAGTCACAAATGTTGACGCGCAACATTGGTTTTGATCACTTCCGGTTTAATTCACGGGCCGAGTACTTACAAAATTCGACTGCATAAGAGTAAGTGTTAAGATGTTTATTTTCTTTTAATTTTCTTATTTTGTGATACATTGTTTTACTTGTGTGTGTTACATTCAAAAGAGTTTAATCAATGACAACGAATAAACAAATTACATGGCAAGGTAATGTGAGTGTCAGTCGCTGTTGGCTGTCATTTGATGATTTGTGATACTGATATTCTGGTACTGACATCAATGGTGATGGCAACATTCATGATTGGCAATAACAAGATGGTTAAGAGTTCCCACCGTTCTCCCATCCCAAACAATATGTATAAATTAATATATACTGAAAATATTAACAAAACCTAACACAACAATTACTAGAGAACTCACAAAAATAACTAAAAGCCCGAAAAATAATTACCTACAATATATAGGGTCGAACCATGTTGTATGATAAAGGCCCCAGACACGGTAATGTTACCAAAAAAATATGGGGGAACGGAAGGAACGCTTTCCACAAGATGAAACATAGATGCAAAATGTACAGCCAATGGCCACATGAAAATTCTGTAGAACGTGATATCTACAAAGGATTTTGATCCACACAGAGCAAGATCAAATAGGCTTTAACCCCCAAAAAGTACTTTTGCCTAAAAAAACCCACTAAGAACCTGACAGTCAGCATTAACAAAAGTGGAGTTTATCGGAGTATTATACTGTAGCGCTAGTTGGTTAAGGCTGCTGACAGTAACTCTTGCTTCAAAGATTTCTGGTGCCTCCTTGATCCAAGAGATGGTTGTGCATGGGTTAGGTTTGTTTGCGCGTCAAGCGGTCGTTGTCGCATGGGTACTACAGATATGTACACCAGGTACATTTCTGTATGCAGAAATTTACCCTAAACAAAGTCAAAGACTGAAGCTCTTACTTCATAGATTTTGAGTGGCTTATATATGATTCTATCTAAAGGATAGTTAAGATTAGGGTAGGATACACCTAATATTAACTCACTCACTTATTCCTTAGATTCCTTTTCCAATCAATAAGCCTATATGACCAGTAGGGTTATACACCCTTCACAATCCAGGTTAGTTGTAAGGTATGGTATGGATGAGCTGTATGTTTTATCAAATAAATCCAATGCAGCCTCACGAAACTGAGCCTGTGCATTTGTACAAAGTGTTAAGTTTTGCTATGAGACTGGCCATTGCACATGTACACAAAGGTAAACAGTAGGTGTTGAAAAACGAGGTAAATGAGCAGTAGTTGTCGTTTTAGAGCACCTATCAACTAGTGTTGGGAATTGTTTAAAATCTCATAATTGATGATTGGTTCATTACAACCGATCAATCATTGAAAAAAATTGGTGAGCGTCATTAATGAAATGTGTTAATGCACATAATAATAAGGAAAAAACATGTGCTTCTTTGGGGTTTTTTGGCAAAATTTCACATCTTTAAAGGATAACTAGTATGTTAGGAACATAATTTTCTTGGAGTCTTTAAGATATATTCAATCATGACTTGGAACGAGCTTGTAGTGCTTATGAAATGTAACAGATAAAACCAACCTTGTGAAAAATATTGTTTATGCAAACAAGTGTTCCAGAATTGTTTGCGTTCGTTTATTAGAAAACATGATCGATTGCTTGGTCGTTTAGTCACTGCGACCAATCTTCGATTATTTCAATTCATCGGACCACCACTACTATCAACTTGTAGTAGGATTGTGGATGAATAGATTAGCTTATTAGCTAGCTTAGCTAAAGCTGACAAAATCCATTTGAGTGCTAGTTGAAACCTGAACAGTGAGTCCAGTAAAGACCATTCACTACTCCCATAAGGATCACCTGCTCTCTATGTTAACTCTCTGAATATTATTCTTGCATCACCAGGAAAAACAAACTGCCATGTTCCTGGAACTTTGGCAGAGAGTCTGATTACATATCTATCTTTGACTCTCTGGATATGGTTTTCATTCAGCATATTTTGTTTTCTTTGCCGTTTTGTAAATGAGAAGCCATCCCCAAATAATACAATACTGTCAAACATGTTGCATCATGGTAACCACAGTAACAGACAGACAGACAGACAGACAGATTGTTTATTATAGTCTCACCTCGTTACAGTCATTTTGATAAAAACGTACATCCATCATATATACATGATAAAAACTATACATAACCTAAGACAATATAAGCGTAAAAGTAACGAGCCACCCTGTACAGAGTTACGAGAGACTTTAAAATTATAACATCTATAGAAACATTCAAATGTTAAGAACTGCAGTCACTCTATAAAATATCCTTTGATAAAAAATTACCTAAAAGTTTTAAAAGAAATCAGTGAAATAAAATCTTATGACGCTTACAAAGAATATTATTACACATTCTGGGCTATAACATTAGGTGAAACCAACTTACTGAATAGTAACAGACTATTAGTGCTGTCCACTTTTGTGTTCCGTTAATAAATGGATATAATGACAAATGATGTGGATAATAATAACCTTCTTTTATTTCGTATGTACCACATTTCAGTACAAATTCTTGTACCACTGTCCTGCTCTAATCTGAGTCCCTAAGTAAGTATATGCCTCACCTTCCAGGAGATGGTCAATAACCCCTCCCTTGTTTTCACAAGCCGTTTCTGAAATGCCTAGTTATTTCAGTCCTTTTACAAACTGGCAGAAAAATCTTTCTGTTATGGAACATATTGACTAATTTTTCAAACGTTCAAAAATGCTTCAAAACATCACTAGTTATGCCTGGATTAATAAGCAAAATATTTATTGTAAAAAAGTACATTGACTCCCTTAAAGATTCTTATAATCCTGACATGTTCTGTCACTGGGAGATGAAATGTAACTTCAAAATGTTTAGAATTGTTATAACATACTTGATGGACGGGTTGTACATCCTACGTGTAAAATAACTGTAAACTTCAAGGGTTTCATTAATTGCCTGTGAGGAAGTATGTACATGATTTGATTGATGAGCAATACAGGTAAATCATTAGTTTGTGTTGCAAGTATAAATAGTATACTATAAACAAAATCTGAGTATAACAAGTATGTTACTAATCAAAATCTTGTCACCCATCTTACCGATAAAGATGCTTATGTAGCGGCAATAAAATTTCCAAGTCCCGTGCTGAGATTCAAACCACGGACCTTCTGATCCAAAGTCGAACACCTTGTCCACATGACCAAAGAGATAACCCTGTCAGCAAGCTGACAAAGTAAGGATGTCATCTGTGGGATGACTCCGCGTCCTGCTACACTTACTTTTCACTTTTAATTCTAAGATGAAACAGTATTTCATGTTTGTTGACTGAAGTCAAGATACACCTTTATACAAATGTGCTTGAGGTTGTGTAGCACAGGTCGGAAACCAGACTAGATTTCTGGAATACCATCCAGGTATGCACAGCGAAAACACAATAACAAAGGCAGCAACCAGTCCAGCGAATTGTCATCTGCCAGTGCCCCTTTAATTTATATTACCGGTACCATATTTCCTGTAATAAGCATCGAGGGTAAAGCAACTGTTCAAGAAATAAGCGCCAGGTCTCCAATAAGCGCCGGGTGTGTCACATGTTTACAATGGAGTTTTGAAATAGAATACCAATGGAGGATCTATATTTATTTCTGTTGAACTTTAAGTGCCGGGTCTCCAATAAGCGCAGTGCCTCTAATAAGTGCAGGGTCTGGAAGCCATTGAAAAAATAAGCGCCCGGGAGCTAATTAGAGGAAATACGGTATGTGAATTATACGTAGTGGCCATGAAATGTCTGAGTCCTGTGCTGGGATTCAAACCATGGACCTTCTGATCCCAAGTTGTACACTTTGTCCTCATTACCAAAGAAGTTAACCAGTCAGCCAGCTGACAAGGTTGGGCGATCTTGTGTGGTATGACGTCACGTCTGCTACAAATATATTGCAACAGCTGGTGACAGACATTTAAAGAATAACCCACCAATTAGATGCTAACTGATATATTGTTGATGACAACTGTGGTGCAACGTGATCAGCTTGACAATACACTGTATTCACCAGTGCTGCCTCATTCAGCTGCCACCTAGTAGTCAGAATAGGTTAAGCACTGATGTGTGCTAATTCAGAGAACAATAGCAGAATCAAATTATTTTTTTTATTAGCTTTACATGTCCTGGCAGCACTTTACACAAAACATTTATCATGTTTTACTATTATAGTGTTGTGTTTACCGTATTCATAGCGTTCTCCTAACTGATGAATAGTCATCTCAATATTGGGTAAACTGAAGTCCAAACAGATATTGAATTGGCCTACTCTGGTGGTGAGTTGCTGCTTCTCTTGTTGAAGGTGACGTCCAAGATCTTCACACAAGCGTTCTCCTGACAAATCTGGTAAAGGTGATTTCATAGTGGGTTTGGGTTTTTTTCAGCTGGATGTTGAATTAAACCTCGTTAAAGTGTTTGCAGGTCACGCTGAAGGCACTGGTTCGATTCTCCACATGGGTACAATGTGTGAAGCCCATTTCTGGTGTCCCCCACCGTGATATTGCTGGAATATTGGTAAAATCGGCGTAAAACCCAAATCACTCTCTTCAAATGGTTCATTGTTCTGTTACTTAAATTTCAGTGAATTGAGTTGTCTCACGTAACTGTCACAGATTTTGATAAAGCAGACAAAATGGATATGACAGTGGGTACCGGTACTTAATAATCCTTAGTTGAGTTCACTCACCAAATACTGTGCACGCTGTTAACATGACAATGTGTTGTGGTCCGATTAATTGAAATAATCAGTGATTGGTGACAGTGACTAAACGACCAAGCAATCGATCATGTTCTCTCATAATTTTGGAACACTTGTTTGCATTAACAATATTTTTCACAAGGTTAGTTTTTGTCTGTCATTAAATTTACATTTCATAAGCACTACAAGCTTGTTCCAAATCATGATTGAATGTATCTTAAAGACTCCAGGAACTTTTTGTTCCAAACACACTAGTCATCCTTTAAAGATGTGAAATTTGCAAAGGCATTTTGTGCAATTTGAAATTAACTACATATTTTTTTCTTTATTTTTGTGTGCATTAACAAGCATAACAGGAAACTTTGATAAATGATCCTAACCAATTATTTTCAATGATTGATCCGTTGTAATGAACCAATCATCAATTATGAGATTTTAACCAATTCCCAACACTAATATACACTGTTGTTTATCCCCAGCCGAGTGGCGACAGTGATGATAAACCCATTCCCCATACACAGGCTGATTACAGTTGTTGTGTGGGTGTGATGGACGTGGATAGTTCTATCAATATACAACTTCTTTATTACAAAATTTGCTTGCTTGATAACAGTGTCAGCATATACCCCAAAATGTTGCATATATTGTAATTAAGTAGTTGTATATCCATAAAATGATCCCCCCCTTATTCCAAATCACTCATTTAGTTAATCACTCAATCAATTGCTTCCATGGCTGCCACTGACATGTATGATGTCTTGTCGTAAGTCAATCAGTGACAACAAGGAGATTCTAGCAACATGCATGCAGGGATCAACATTGTGCTTTATTTGCTTGCCATGGCATGGTAAATATTGAAATGGCATGGATGAAATCTTTTCAGTGCCTTGGGGGCACAACTAAATTTATAAAAATAACACGTACCATGATTCTTTTAATGGAAAATGTTATAAATTTGACAAACTGAAAAGATTCAAAAACTATTTTTTGCACTCTATCAAACTATTAGTCAGTGGCACTCTCAATATCACAGTTTCACATAAGCGTGGCCATTTTGAATGCCAGTGTACATAACAGGAAGTGCTGTTTTGGATGATAGCATACTTTGTCGGTTAGTACATGATCCAGGGCTGATGAGGCCGGACAGTCTTTACACGAGTGTTAAGGAAATCCAGCTCTCATGTTTACAAGTTTACATGATGTTTACTGTTCTATTTAACAATAACTTGAAATGACATAATTGTTGTGATGTTTTAAGTTTAATTGAACATCAAAAGACATGGGCTACGCTTTCACAAAGCCACACCTAAATCATCTGTCTGGTGCTCCATGGCACCCTTTAGAAAAATTGCATTTTTATCTCGTTGGTAACATGGAGGCTGGGTCAGATGACAGAATTGCTGATATGGAGAGTTATCATTCGTTCATGATGACAACAACCTGATGATCTCATTACATATATACAACATATTACAATGGATAATTCCAGTGACATATGTGTCTGTTTCAGGTGACAACAACCTGATGATCTGATAAGATTTATACAACATGTTACAATGGATAATTCCAGTGACACATGTGTCTGTTTCAGATGACAACAACCTGATGATCTGATTAGATTTATACAACATGTTACAATGGATAATTCCAGTGACACATGTGTCTGTTTCAGGTGACAACAACCTGATGATCTGATAACATTTATACAACATGTTACAATGGATAATTCCAGTGACACATGTGTCTGTTTCAGGTGACAACAACCTGATGATCTGATTATGATTTATACAACATGTTACAATGGATAATTCCAGTGACACATGTGTCTGTTTCAGGTGACAACAACCTGATGATCTGATAACATTTATACAACATGTTACAATGGATAATGTGTCTGTTTCAGGTCCAGTGTTACACATGTGTCTGTTTCAGGTGACAACAACCTGATGATCTGATCTGAGATTTATACAACATGTTACAATGGATAATTCCAGTGACACATGTGTCTGTTTCAGGTGACAACAACCTGATGATCTGATTAACAACCTGATTTATACAACATGTTACAATGGATAATTCCAGTGACACATGTGTCTGTTTCAGGTGACAACAACCTGATGATCTGATTAGATTTATACAACATGTTACAATGGATAATTCCAGTGACACATGTGTCTGTTTCAGGTGACAACAACCTGATGATCTGATTACATTTATACAACATGTTACAATGGATAATTCCAGTGACACATGTGTCTGTTTCAGGTGACAACAACCTGATGATCTGATTAGATTTATACAACATGTTACAATGGATAATTCCAGTGACACATGTGTCTGTTTCAGGTGACAACAACCTGATGATCTGATTACATTTATACAACATGTTACAATGGATAATTCCAGTGACACATGTGTCTGTTTCAGGTGACAACAACCTGATGATCTGATTAGATTTATACAACATGTTACAATGGATAATTCCAGTGACACATGTGTCTGTTTCAGGTGACAACAACCTGATGATCTGATTAGATTTATACAACATGTTATAATGGATAATTCCAGTGACACATGTGTCTGTTTCAGGTGACAACAACCTGATGATCTGATTACATTTATACAACATGTTACAATGGATAATTCCAGTGACACATGTGTCTGTTTCAGGTGACAACAACCTGATGATCTGATTAGATTTATACAACATGTTACAATGGATAATTCTAGTGACACATGTGTCTGTTTCAGGTGACAACAACCTGATGATCTGATTAGATTTATACAACATGTTACAATGGATAATTCCAGTGACACATGTGTCTGTTGACAACAAGGTGACAACAACCTGATGATCTGATTTAATTTATACATGACATGTTACAATGGATAATTACAATGGATAAGTGACACATGTGTATGTTTCAGGTGACGACAACCTGATGATCTGATTACATTTATACAACATGTTACAATGGATAATTCCAGTGACACATGTGTCTGTTTCAGGTGAGAACAATGTCGCGTGGGAGATGTTGATGTACCCACTGACGGCGATGGTGGCGGCGGTGGCGGTGGTGTCGGGCTAGCGGTCTCTACTATAATTTCAGCCCAGCAACCCCTGCTCATCCAGACCGCCATGAAGTAAGCAGGGACGAAAATACTAGTCCAATACAGTGTGCGAAATAGCCACTGGCACACTAGCCTGTGGCTAGTAAAAATCCAGTTGGTCCAGTAAATCTCCACAGTCATTGACCTGACTGGCTAGTCAATTTTCATTGGGGTCATTTTGTGAAGATATCTCTCTCTTCGACTTAAGTTATAATACACTTTTAAATCATGCAAGATTATGGCCTGATAAAAAATGCTCATCATATTAGCGTCTTAATGATATCGGTATATGGTCTCAACTCTGTCATGACATGTCAATTTTACTGTAGTAAAATGAAAACATTGGTCAATCTTTCTTTTGAGTCATGAACAGTCAAACCTTGCTAGTGTGGACTCCTGGACAATCAGATATTGTCTGGATAAATTAATTTCCGAATCCAAAGATTTGTGTGTGTATTAAGCTCAGTCAAAACTACATCATATGCCGTCAGTAATTTCATGTGAAGGAACGTGGCTAACAAATTTGGTCGATGTAAATGTGAAATTTGAGATAAAACTAAGTTGGAAATAGCAATCGGCTGGACACTTTTTCCCCTAATGTACCAGTGATTCAGTTACAAACAGCAATAGTATTGACAATACAACGCAATAAAGTTTAACACCAAGGCCAAAATAAATTGTATATGAAACTAATCAGATATCAGGAGAATATTCCAATATTGTGTTATTGCAGTTTTAATGTTTTCTCTCTCTCTTTATATATCTACATGTATCTATATCTATATATATATTAAAAATAACTATGAGCACTGTGGTACAAGTAATTGTTATTGCTAGATATACTATTTATGTCCAGCACAGCTTGATCAGTCATCATCATCATCAAATGTTATGTTGAAATATAATTGTCATGCTTCAACAAATATGACTTTATTGAGTCAAAGAATGAGATTTATTGTCCATTATTAACAAATGTTCATATCAAGGCTTAATAGAGGTAATATGCTTGTGGTTGCAGGGGTGGAAATAACCCATTGCCCGACGTCCCAGCCCAGTGTTTTTTTCTGTCGGGCAAGCAAATATGTATATCATGCTGTACCGGTGTCCAGTTGACTTTCCAATGTTAATTATGTTGTTTATTTAAAAAATCAACAAGATAATTGGCAAGTATAGTGGAAAAATTATCAGGGCAAGTGATTTCACATGTGCCACTGTACCAGAGTACACTAGCAATTATAAAGTTATTTCCACCCCTGGGTTGGTATAAATAATGCTGATTGGTTGATCACTCATGATTGCGACTATATGATATAAACATCAGTATTGACTGAAATTTTGACAAGTATGTGTAATGACATGAGTAGATTTATACAGGTCATGTTGTTTCATGTAAATATTGTCCGTTATGCGAGGGTTCTTGATATCCAGAGTCCATATAAGTGGGGTTTCACTGTAAATATGAAGGGGCTGTAGGGTAGCCTAATGGTAAAAGCATCCGTTTGTCAAACTGAAGACCCGGGTTCAATTCCTCACATGGGTACATTAAGCGAAGCCCATGTCTGGTGTCTATCAAGAAGACAAGTGGGGCCCAGTCATGAAAATTAAAGTTTACATCAATTATTTTTCGAACATGAACTGAAAATAACACAAAGGGACAAGAAGGACCACTTGATGCAAGAACATGCACATCTATTGTCTGTATTGCCAGATATTTCATCTTCGCGAGCGGCATGCAGGTGAAGTTTGTCGGTGATGACAGCTTCATGTTCTGTTACGGGGAGCGAGGGACACGGTGGAAGGACAAGTCATCTATTCTGCTCATTCATGGATTCACTGCCTCCAAGGATCAATGGCTGGCTCTGTTTAAGGTACAGTCAGATGGGCCCAGGCCATGAAGTGGTGAGGTGAAATGTCAAGGTTTAATGTCATACTTAAGAATATTTCGCTCATATGACGACGTGCATGCGTGTGTATGTGTATGTGTGGCTGCTTGTACTAGCCCAGACTTAAGCTGGTTTTATAGTGCTAGCCCACTGAGATACCATGCCGCAGTTAAGCATGAATACCCCACTCAGACACATTATACTGACTCCCGAGCTGACCAGTTCTTGTTTTACACATAGCGCCAGGCAGGGAACAATTTAAGTACCATGTTTTAACATCTTTTGGTATGATACGGCCTGGGATCGAACCCGCGACCTTCCACTCTCTGGACGGACGCTCTAACCACTACTCCATGGAGGTGGTGTGCAGGCCGTGAAGTGAAGGTCCAAATTATGGCATGGACAGACTATCATCTCATTTGTTTTCTCTACTTTGTCAGCTCAGGGTCAGTGTTCGTTGGTTTTCACAAATCTAAACTTCCTCCACTCTGTGTTTTACGCTCATGTGCTTATTCCACTGTGTCATTGCAATCCTATACTTCCTCCACTCTAAATGTGACCCTCACAACAAATTGAGTTGGTTTAGTATGGATGTTGTTCAAAGTTCTGTTGAGCCGAACTGACTCGCTGAGGCCAGATGATGCAAAGGTGGCACATGATTCTTGGTTCAAATCTTATATTGTGATACTTGGCAGTTGTCATGTCAGTTGATATAGTTTATTGTACTATTTCCCCAAAATATATTAAAACATTTCAACCGTGAGTTTCGTAATATTTGCCAAATTGTCTTTCGTGTTTGAATACCGTGTTTGGGAGTCTACTTTCAAACTGGTCCTCAGCAACCCAAGCCATAAGAGCTGAATAAATGGCTCAATGACTTGATAGACATGTCTCATAGTACACTGATGGTTAAGATCGTTGTTCACAATCTCAATCAGTTTCATGTCGTGTACCACCGTTGGTAGCGTTTCTGAGTTGAATACAGAAGAAAGACTTGGGTTGTTTGCTGTAATATAGCTGAGTGCAGCTTGAAACAGACAAACAGCCATAGCTCCATAACATGTTTTCATTTATCATGTCTAATTTGTGTGAGTCGTTTTCACAGAAACTCCCCAAAGACCTTCACCTTATAGCAGTTGACCTCCCAGGTCACGGGAGTACGAGCACCCCGAAGGATGAGGACGATGTGTCTCTCTCATCGCTTGTTGACCTCCTGCATAAGGTTGGACATAGGAGTTTTCTGCCATGTTTTCAGCCCTATCAATGTATCATGTAGTCTAAAACCTGTAAAATTCTGTTTCAGTAAATATAATAACCAATATTATGGGTCTAAAATCCACTGAGGGTGCTTCGGGTAACCTAGTGGTTAAAGCGTTTGTTTGTCATGCTGAAGACCCGGGTTCGATTCCCCCCACATGGGTGCAGTGTGTGAAGCCCATTTCTGGTGTTCTGAAATTGCTGGAATATTGCTAAAAGTGGCGTAAAAGTAAACTCACTCACTCATGCTGATGGGTTTAACCTCTTTAGTAATGTGGACTTCAGATCAGAAAGTATGTGGTTCTAGTCCCAGCAAGGGACTTGGATATTTCATGGCCGCTACACTAGCAAATTATCTCAAAATGACCAATTATCATTGTATGGTTCTTGTCAGAAGTTTCTGTGAACAGGCTGGATGAATAGGTAACCTTGACCTTGACATCATTGCATATAGTTAGGGAAGTATTTCATGTATTTATGACACATAGGAAAAGTTTATTTAAGATACTTTGGAGCGTCCTTATTTACAATGTCACAGAGAGCATGTAACTGATTTGGTTTTTGTATGTATTCACCTCAAGGACTCTCGATCTGTGTGGCATTTCCCCAGTATTCTGTAGGAAGCCAGCATGTCTCCGAATGTATCCCTACAACATGTGCAGATAGACATAATATTCTGTTTAGACTCTCAACATTTATTTGCTGTGCATGTCGAAAGACTTTTAAACAATGGAGCTTGTTATTTATACCTCATTATACATTTACTCAAGTCTTATTTTTCATCTTTGCAAATACCTTCAAAAGTACCTATATTCTATTGTATAGTTTATTTTCAAATCAAAGTGTATAATGCTGTCCGTTACAAATAACACTGAACCTACAAATCTGGTAATATCATAATTGAAATCTGACTGTGTATTTGAGCGTGATAGATCCGTGATATTGTATTTTCAGTTTGTAAATCTCTCAGGACTGGCTGAGCAGCCATTCCACGTGGTAGGTACATCTCTGGGTGGAGTGATTGGAGGCCTGTACACAGCCAAATACAACAGCTACGTGGATCGCCTCACCATGGTCTGTCCTGCTAGTAAGTCACTCACTCACTCACTCACGCTCTCACTCACTCAAGCTCTCACTCACTCAAACAACCACCTCTCACCTTATGCTCTCACTCACTCCCTCACTCACCCACTCACTCATGCACCCACCCACTCACTCACGCTCTCATTCCTTTACTCACCCACTCACTCATGCTCGCACTGACTCACTCACTCACTCATGCTCTCACTCACTCACTCACTTTCCATAGTTCTTAAATTCCCCACAGGGGTACAATGTGTGAAGCCCATTTCTAGTGTCCCCTGCCATGATATTGCTGGAATATTGCTAAAGGTGTCATAACAGTAAACTCACGCTTTTACTTTCCATATTTCAGTGAAGACACCTGTGGACAGCGAGTTTTCAAAGCAGATGTTGGCTGCCATCGATATGGGACCAGACAACCTGGACATCAGCCACTGTAGTCTGATACCCCAGACACCAGAGCAGACGCAGAAGATGCTGGACAGCTGTCTGTACCACAAGCAACCAATCAACTATCAGGTCAGGACCTTCACCTTCAGAGTACTTTAAAAACATAATTTATTGTCTCTTATGCCTTAATCATTTATGTCATGCGTAGCAATGAAATAGGATTTGGTTCGGTTCAGGGAATGTAACATCAAACCCCATGTCGGCAACAGCTTTTTGCTGCCTGGGAAGTTTTTATATTTTTTTTTTTTTGGACAGTCACGTTTTTTTTGTTTTTTTGTTTTTATTCATTCCCATAGTTACATAGATGCAAAAATATCCTTGTAAAGCAGCCAGGGTGTTTGTTGATATCATATTACTTGTTCAGTCATTATTGGAATATATGTTTATTGTTGTTTTCTTTTATTTCAGATATTAAAAGGAATTGTTGCCTTGAGGGCACCTAAAAATCATTTTTATCTCCGATGTAAGTATTTTTTTCTGTGTGATCATTTGACCAATGAGTATGTATGATTGTACATGGATTTAGAAAGTGACTTTACATAAAGCTGTCATACAGACTCTTTTTACATTGCTGATAATACTTACACGTTCCTGTCAGTAGCTGTTGTATGTTGTCAGTGTTTAAGAATCTGGCCCGTGAGGAGAACGTGACTGTGCTTGTAGAGAAGGCGCGGCACATCAGCCCCCCGACGCAGCTGGTGTGGGGCGAACACGACGAGGTAGATATACCTTCATTCCATTTCAGGGAACTAGTTGCATAAATATGTGGCAAGTACAACCATATATCTTTCCTTATCCTGACTCATGCTATAATGGCTTATCTCCCTTCCCTTTCTACGGTTACGTGGAAACCTGAATCCCTTGTTGTCAAAATTTGCTCACCCGTGTGGAGCCCCACGTTCCCGCCAAAGTCTGTTCATCAGATCAAAATAATCACTAAAATGACTCTGCATTGTGTGGGTTAATGTGATTAAACATTAATACTGAATATCCAAGCAGTCCATGAACTGTGTAAAAATACTCGTAAGTTTTGTAATGACATGCGACAAGTTCATCAGTGGCATCCAACATGGCCACATTTCATCCAAGACATTTTGTGTTAATTTTGGAAATTCCCTTTACTCAAGTGCTTACTGAAGCCATGGTGTTCAGGAAAAGCCCCCCAAACCTTTGTAATTTTAGCAAAGTACCAATCTAATCACATAAGAAAAACGTAAAAAATAGTTGCTGAGGAAGAGGGACATGCACATGCTTTACAAAGATGGCAGAAGGTGTCTCGTTAGTGTGAGTACCTGCTTACCTGGAACCAATCTGTTGTTTGATTAGGTTATTTACAATTAAATCATTCTACTTTATGGATGACAACTTCTTGTTTAGTGCACAGAGTGATGTTTCGATGTATATTTGTCCCCCTCCGCAACGTGGAACGGGGGACTATGTATTCAGCGGCGTTCGTCCGTCCGTCCGTCCCGATTCTTGTTAACGCGATATCTGATGAACTGTTGTACCCAATGTCTTCAAATTTGGTGACAGCCTACAATGGGGGATTACGCAGACACCAGTTGATTGGGGTGACCTTGACCATATCTTCAAGGTCACGACGACACTTTGAACACTTTTCAAACTCTTGTTAACGCGACATCTCATGGACTGTTGTACCCAAGGTCTTCAAATTTGTAGACAGACTACATTAGGAGATTACCCAGACACCAGTTGATTTGGGTGACCTTGACCTTATCTTCAAGGTAACCATGACACTTTGCACACTTTTAACTCTTGTTAATGCGATATATCATGGACTGTTGTACCCAATGTCTTCAAATTTGGTGACAGCCTACATTGGGAAATTACCCAGACACCACTTTATTTGGGTGACTTTGATCTTAATTTCAAGGTCACCGCAACATTTTGACCACTTTTCAAACTCATTTAAACGTGATATCTCATAAAACATTGCACCCAATGTTTTCAAGTATGTTGACAGTCTACATTGGGTGATTATGCAGACACCAGTCATTTCAGGCATCTTGTATGTGACCAAACAATAAAAAGTAGTAAATATAGATATTCCATTCTTAAGCGGCTGGGGACATTGCCATATCAATGGCAAACACTTGTTTAGCTTGGTAACGGTGTAAGAATCTACAATCGAAACATCGCTCTATGCAATAAACATGAAGTTGTCATCCTAAAGTTGTGGTTTCATTTTTGACTCACCAACTTTTAGAATGCTGATCACACATTTACAGCATGATCTGTTTCACTGGCATTTTAGAAGTTGGTAAGTAACAATAGTAGTTGTCATCCATGTAGTACCTTGCCTTCATTGTTACTCCCTAGCGGCCATATGTAATAGTGTGCATGGGGGAACGTACTGTCACACACCAGTGAAGTATTGATGATGGCTCAGTGGAGAAATTCTGGTGTATAAACATAGCAACATTATTCAGTTCTAGAGGTGTGACGATATGGAAATGTCACGATACGATACGTATCGCGATATCTTGGAACAATGCAATTCGATTAGATGCATATCACGATATGCTATCTTTAGTTATTTTCTTTAAATAAGTATATTTTGATAGCAAGTAGCAGTGTAAATTTTTACATAACTGTCAATTTCTAGTGAACATTAACAAGTTTAAGGTCAACTATACATATCACGATACGAACAAAAGTATTGATATATTTATCGTCAGATAAAGTATCACGATTATCAATACTACGATGTATCATCACTGCTATATTCAGTTCATTAACCACCTGTAATTCTCACTCCCAGCTGATTGACAAGAGTGGTGCTGAAGTCTTGAAGAAAGTTTTGCCAAATTGTGAGCGTGTGGACATAATAGAGCGATGTGGCCACTCTGTGAATATGGACAGACCAGGTGCCGTAATGAAAACCATCCTTGTATTCCGTGGAGAATATGACCGAAAAAATGTCTAGAAGAGTAAAACAAGCACCCCCCAGAAGAATACAGGAGCAATTCATTGGCAGAATGAGTGTAAATAGAGTTAGAAAGAGATGACTCTACAAGTCAAGGTCTTACTGATCCAAGATATATGTACAGCTAGTCTTCATGTTTGTATTTTGTTGCTAACAGGAGATGGGACTTCATGGACCTCATGTCCATTTCTAGTTAACATGTGGCAGTTAGCAGCGAGAGACGGACAATTTCTGCATCATAGCTGTTTTTATTGACCTTTTGTTTGATATGAATTGATGACACTAAGTTGCTAATGGCCTCAAGTCTTGTACAACTTGCCAAGATGTGTATTGACTCAAAGTTAGTAAACCTTCATGAGATGCTTATTGACTTGGGTCAGTAAAACGTGCTGAGATGTGTATTGACTTAAGGCTAGTAAAACTTGCTAATTGCCTCAAGGCTAGTAATACTTGCAAATATGTGCATTGACTCAAGGCTAGTAAACTTTATTAGATGTTTATTGACTTGGGTCAAAAACTTGTTAAGATGTTTAATGATTTGGGCCAGTAAAACCTGTTAAGATGCTTATCAACCAGGATCAGTGAAACTTTCTAATATGCTAATCGAGTTAAACACAGACAAGATTATCTCCATCTGTATGAAATGGCAATTCTCTTTTTAGTAATTAATCAAAATATACAATTGAAACCTTATTTTTCCGATCACAGGTAGTTTGAGTAATTCAACCATTAAATGAGTATTTCCTATATACTTCCTTCCAATGAATCAGGGTCTTCTGGGTTGTATATGGACTACCATTTTGTCCCAACTGAAAATAATTTTTGTCTTTTCATCTGTGAGAAGGAATCTCTTAATTTTCTGTAGATATATTCATGAGGGTGTTGAAGGTTTCTGTGAATATTTTTTGAGATATTTGTTATGAGGGTCAGTATGAGTACACGATACCATGGCAAGTACATTCTTCCAGATTGCAGCTAGTTTTGGATGTTGTGGCAGTTTGTATGTATGTAAATATCCGTAGCAATCATCAAGACGTAAGGTAGTTGGTATGAACAGGTCCAGACGTTACGTATGGAAATATCACCTGATTGTAATGTTAGAAGCATTCTTGAGTCCACAGATTAACTGTCTTCAAGTGTTCATCTTTGTTCTGACAGGACTGTATCTTAACATTGTTGGGGGCAGTGGGGTAGCCTGATGGTTAAAGCGTTCGCTCGTCACGCCGAAGACCGGGTTCGATTCCCCACATGGGTACAATGTGTGAAGCTCATTTCTGGTGTCCCCCACCGTGATATTGCTGGAATATTGCTAAAAGCGGCGTAAAACCATACTCCCTCACTCACTTAACATTGTGGAATATATCTGGCCAGTCCAGTATTTGTGATGTTTGTCAGTACTTTCCAACAGTGTTCATATTTTAAGACAAGTCTCCATTGTAAAAGATGTCCCAGAGTTTTAATTGTTGAAATTATGCAATTAATAGATTTCAGGCATTGATGTTTATATATCATAACACTGGAGTGATGGACTCATGAAGACGGTTGCATCCTGGGCGCCAGAATCCTGGTGGGTTCAAATCTCAGATCCACCCTGATTACTTTTTGAGGTTTGTTTCCACTATACCTGTGTTCGTGGGTTTGTGGTAAATAAGATCTACAGCACAGGCTTTTCTCCCACTTTAGGCTATGCTGTGATATAAATGTAATATCATTCATAGTGTTATGGGGGTGGTGGGGTAGCCTAGTGGTTTAAGCGTCCGCTCGTCACGCTGAAGGCCCGGGTTAGAATCCCCACATGGGTACAATGTGTGAAGCCCATTTCAGGTGTCCCCCGCCGTGATGTTGCTGGAATATTGCTAAAAGCGGCGTAAAACTAAACTCAGTCAGTCAGTCATAGTGGTATGTGGCCCAACTCACTCACTAATGAAGAGTGTGGTCAGGTTGATTCGGCTTGTTAGAACTCGTATATGTTGTGTGTCAGATGAATTGTCAAACTTGCTGCGTATGTTAGATCAGATTCTTTGATGAAATTATGTCAGTACAAACATTAATGAATATATTAAGTCAGGTTTGGAGACACCCTTAAGATAACAATATCTGTCTCTTATAGACCATTGTATGTAACATATACGTGTGTTTTGCAGCCTGGTTTAATTATGGATCTACTGATTGATTTTGTTCTGTATAGAATGTCACCTGATTTGAAAACTCATGTCTTTTATGAATGCTGTTAGTTAAAATTGTTGCAATGGTTATATATGATGCTTTAACATGACAACAAGTCTTTTTATCACCTTCAAAGTTTAGACTTAAAACATATTAGATATATAAGCAAGTAGAGCAAGTCTGTGACATTAGATAAGAGTTTTATTTTAACTTTTTGTTAATGCTATTTATTCCAACATCACTTATGAAATCAGTTTCAGTAAAAACCTAATCATGTTAAATCATTTTTAAAATGCTGATAAAAGCACATTGAACTCATCTTTAGTTGTAAGTGTTCAGGAGAAAATATTAGCAATGGTCAGCTGGACCAAGAGGGCCATATTTCTACATTAGAGATGTTTCATTCATTGCAGCTTATATAAAATGTGGGACCATTTGACAATCATGCTTCAGGCATTGCTTTACTGATACAATATAAAAACTGTGTTCAAGTTGTTGTGGGAACAGTCATTAAGGACATTATCCTGCCTCCTTTAAGCAACCCTATGTAGGTTGGAATGTGTTCAGGTTTAGTTTGAAGTTGACTGCAGCCGTATTCTTATGTTATTTTGAAGCATTTGGAATACTGTAAATCATGAAATTAATATGAGCATTTTATTAATGCGAAAAATGCGTCTGTACTCTTCTCGCATTATTATAATGACACATTTCAGTCTGACCATGTCTACTTTTGAGAACTTATTAAAAGACAGAAAACATTAATCTGTTGACACTACACATTACACCAATACAGGCCACTTCCTCATTACAGGTATCTCAAACCACATGTAATTATCACTGGTTACAATCACTGGTCATTGTTTAAAGTCACTCAAGCACAACAGCCAGACAGGACATTCTTCAGCCAATTGTTGGTTTTACCTTGGTAGATGAGTTATGTCATTCAAGTCGGATCACGTTTATACATGTTGTCATAAGACAAGTAGTAGTAAGCAATCACGTGATCAAACATGGCAGCATAACCAAAACATTGTCAGCTCATTTCCATTCATTGCTTAACAAGCTCAATTCAGGTTATTTGGTAAATAACAAGTGTGAAAAGAAAAAAAACAACACCAAAGATTCAGGGTGTCACATTTTATCATCAACACAGATTCCTGAGCTCGCATTAATTTTGTGACGCATTTTAGACTAGACCCTTGCATTCGCATTAAATTCGTGACGCATTAATTTCATGATTTACAGTATTGAGAAAATGTGAAAATTGTTTTGAAAATGTTTAGAAGTGGTAATGTATGATTAATTATTATAAGGCATCTAATTGGATCAGATGGTCAGACTCACTGATTTGGTTGAAGCATCATATCCCAATTGTGTAGCCCATGATAATGTCAATCACACGATTGCTCTAGTCCTCCCAATTCGCCAAACTTTGTGAAAACATTGACATTTAAAGGAAGGAAAACAGTCATGAAACACATTCCGCAAAAGCTTTCTATTCATAGTACAAGTTGTCGAACAACAGTCCAAGGAATATGTTTGTTTGTATTTCCTCAACATGACTTTTAGCAATCATCCAGAGCTCTCATTTGTTGAGTGGAAAATAAGTCCAGAAAATTAAATACCATAACATTTAGTCTGTGAGACATCTAGGAAATTAGAAATGAAGTACATTTGGAGCTGAGAACAACACTTAGGGCTGATGTAGTCTAGACTTGGAAAATCATTGGGACTTGAGTTCGAGTCTTTTGTAAATTGGTTTTTAGATCTGTGATTTCATGATATAATTAGACCATAGGTCTAACACTGTTTGTTGTAGTTTTAGATCATTTTTGCATTTAATTATGTTCCTGTGTTTACAGCATGTTTGTAGTTCACTAAAACCAAGTTGAATGAGAGGTAAGGACATGGCAAAGTATTCAGTATAACCCATTCATCCATCCTTCCATTTGTTCAATCTTGGATTCCATGATACATGTATGTCTGGAGTGTTGAAACTGAAAATGTTGGATAATTTCTACCACCATGACATTATTCAGGTTTTTTATGGCATTATGGTAAACATATTATGATTTTGGATTTGGCATTCATGAAGTTCTAGTGTTAAACATGTTGACATAGCGACACTTTCTACTTCTCAGAAAATGCTGTATGAATATTGGGAAATATATCATATCAGATGGTATTTTGTTATTAGTAATAATAATGCTTTCTTATCTCATCCACTAATGGCGGGATCAGGTGGTCAGGCTTGCTGGCTTGGTTGACACATGTCATCGGTTCCCAATTGCGTAGATCAATGCTTATGCTGTTGATCACTGGATTGTCTGGTCCAGACTCGATTATTTACAGACCGCCGCCATATAGCTGGAATATTGCTGAGTGCGACGTAAAACTAAACTGACTCACTCTTTCAGCAGACATATTAGATTACAGTTGTTTTTAGTTGTAATGTTTTGTAATCTGTGTTATTTGTTTTGAATTGATCCACCTGATATGGTATATACCACTGTGATTCCTGTTTATACTTGTGATATTTATTTTGTGGTGCCAATCTAGAGTATATTATGAGAGCGATGCTGATATTTTCATATATATTTAAGTGTCAGTTGTGTGTTCTGTTAACATTGCATTAGACCACAGTGTTACAGTAGGCTTTGCCCTTCACAGTCTTCTTAGGGTGAAGCCCATTTCTGGTGTCCCCCGCCATGATATTGCTGGAATATTGCTAAAAACGGCGTAAAACCATACTCATTCACTCACTCTTAGGTGAACTTGTTCTTGTCATATAGTGGCTACGACCATTCTTACTCGTGTTGTGACACATTTTTAAACAAAAGACAAGGGGCCATAACTATTGTCATTGTCTCAGACCATCACTGTAGACTATATATTCAATATATCCCTGGCATATAAACTTTTTATTCCCTCCAAGAATACCAATAAACAGAAATGGCACACATTGAACTTGGCTCTATAGTACTGTGATTATGCCTCAGGATGTTTGAAATTTGAGAATATGTATGTATTAATGGCCAGTGTTCAGGTTTTTTGCGATCTCATTCATTGTGATTAATCAGTAGTCTCATGTTTGATTACACATCAGTATTTATTAAACTTCTCTGTAGTCAGAAATTGTACTTTTTCAAAGGATGTTCATTTCTATCAATCGTAACATTTTTCAGCTCTTCCATTCTTTAATATTTTTTTATCTGGTGATCAGATTTTATGTCAGTTGCATTTTATCCATTATCATGTTAATATACTTCCCTGGGTCTGACCAAATCAATTTCTTGTTTAACATATTAGCCATGATGCAAATTATAAAACACCATGTTGATTTACACATATTTTCATAAAATACAAAACAATCTTGAAACAAATAATCCAAGATGTAAACTTGTCTTTTCAACCAAATATTATTTGTTAATATGGTTTTTTACTCTGCAAAGTTAATTGTAAACTTAACCTAAAAGATTAAACTAAATGGTCTGACCTCTCTGGTTTGTTTCAACTTCTATTTCCAAATGGCATTAGTACTGTTGATATCAGGCATTTAATAAGGAACAGGTCCTTTAAAATTATGGAAATAGGGGTTAGGTTTGTGGATTATTGCAAGAGACAGTATATTTTAGGTTGCTAGTTCAGAAGATAAAAGTCTCACTGTGAAAGAGGTGCTAAAAAGTTTATAAGGAATGTGTCCGTTAACATTATGGAGATGGGCTAAAATATTTAAATTATTATAAGAGACAATATATTATATGTTGCTAGTTCAGAAGATAAATGTCACCCTGTGAAACATCTGCTAAACAGTTTATATTCTGTCTTTCAGTGGCATTTAGAAGTTGTACATTGATGTCCAAGATATATTTTTGGATTAAACTTCTTTTTAATTTCTCTCACGACGTTTCGAGACCATTCCAGGTCCCTTCATCAGGTGAACTGGCATTAGTACATATTAGCCATGGCATTAGTTTATATTCTTTTCATGACTTAATATTCAGGTCATCAAGCATGACGAGGAAACATTTTTTTGTAGGAGGTATAATGTATAAAGTTGCTCTGGGTCACCAGGGACAC